GTTGAAAAACGACTGTGTTTCAACTGTGCTACGTCGAAAACTATACCAAGTCCAACAATAATTTTAAAATCATCATTCAGCAATCTCAATGATTTGGAGTTTAGTTTGAAAGAATACAGTGGAAGTAAAAAAACTAAATGCACAGAACTAAACTGATTGGGATTTTTAAATGTAACGAGAATTCTAGTAAATCATTTATTTATTGAAACAGATTAAATTGCTGAATATCAAGAGTACTCATTGGCTGACTTGCAGTGTAGTCTGACAATTGACAATAACAGGTATTGTATAGTATATAATTATTTAAAAATAATATATTATTTAATTAATTGTTTTAAATAATTTTTAGATGTATGTTATCCGGAGCAGTTTTTTATGAACATGATCATTAGATAGCGTATGATGTACGCCGTGTAAATATATGGGAAGTGCACAAAGATTTGGCAAAACAAATTTAAAGTACCCCTAGTTCAACAAAAATAAAACCACATGTAATTTTATATGTGAAAGAGTAAAAAAAAGACATGTACATTGGTACAAAAGTCAATTATAGCAATAAGAGATGTCTTTTTTTAAATCAAGCAAAAAGACAAAAAGGTCATATTTTATTATTTTTAAATTTATATTAAGCGTTTGTTACAATGTAAATAAAAGTAATAAGAATCAATAATTAATTAAATAAATTTTATTTTTTTCAATTTTCCTTTTACCAATAATTCTATTATAGTGACATGTGACTCCAGGATCCGGGACCAAAATGAGAAAAAGTCCCCAAAGGATTGAAACAGTCTGGTGACGAAAAATGTTTTTTATGTATCAACCTGACGTTTTATAATAAATAACGAGAACCATGAACCACGATTTCTAATTTTAATAATTAAAAATTAATAAAGTAAATTTAAAATGAATAAAATGTGAAGATCTGAAAAACATAATCTATTTATTAGCAAAACAGAATAAAAATTGTTATTAATTAATGTGAGCTCTTATTTGATGGCCATAAGCTTATTATATTCAATAACCCATGTTATGTTCCTATAAATATAGAGTAAAAAGAATTAATAAATAAATTTAAAAAAATGAATTATTAATTTATGTTCATTGTAATATTACCACGTATTATGAATATGAGGGTAAGAAACAAAAATTTTTAGGGTTTTAAAATTCTTTTTATGAAACTAAATAATGCGAATTATAAAGTTTAAAAATATAGTGCATTGAATATTACAGTGTTAAAATAATACAATAATCAATTAACAAATCATTAAAAAACCAAATGTATTGTTTCTTATATTAATTTAAATCGTATTGTAATAATGACGCTAATTCGTTTAAAACTATATGGATAAATAAATAATTAAAAATGTATCTAATATACCTACCTATAACTATCTTAATTAATATATTTCTATGTTCTATCATTGAATAGCCATTTCTGTTATTTTTCTGTCAATAACTCTTATTAAATATTATACATTAAATAATTATTATATAATAATTAATAACCTATGTATTATGTATATTATAATCATTTTTCTATTTTTGTGTATATAAGCCATCATAACTTAATGTAACAGTTGAGCTATCCTAGCTTTTGCTAAAAGCTAATTAAATTTTAAAAAAAAAACCATCATAAACTATATATGTTATCTTAGTTCATGTTAGATACCTTTATCAAATTTGCTTTTTGTGCTTTGGCATGGATTGTGAATATTCTGAAAAAAATGTACCCAACTGATTTTTAACTAAGTTAAGTTTCTATTGCTTTTTTTAACTTGTAATGTATTAACGTAGTAATATGTACACGTAAAATCCTCTTTACTTTTTAGTTTTTACTATTACATTACATATTATACAATCTATATTTTTAAATATCTTAGTTGTTTACTTGTTTATTGTAATATTTTATATTACATTTGCTTTGTTCAAAATATTTGGTTATTTGGAACTACCATTTTTTGATCAATGAATTCTCAAGGTGAGTGTCTAGACACCCGACGGCTCAACCCAGCCAGCCACACCCCTATAATATTGTGTGACCTGTTTTTGACGAAATTTGAATAGTGACATTAATGTACCTTTATATTAAATGTAATGATGTGCTAATGAATAGTTAAAATATATTTAGTATACTTCGATGTAGTTGTAATACACTAATACGTAGTTATTAGACTCGATTAAAAATACAACATAAAGCAAATACTGAGTATTGAACCACACTTGCAGGCGTCGCCTCACCCGCTGTACACGATCTATAACGTACCTTCGTAGTTGCAAGGAATTATTATTTTTGTATTGAAAATAATAATGAACCATATTGCAGCATTCAAAAAACGATTCAAAGTGCAGCCTAAGTAACTACTTATAAAAAACTGTTTGTATAATAAATAACACGAACTAAGAATTAAGATGTAGAGAACTGGACTCGACAAATGTGCTAGGTGTTTCCTTCTAAATATGTTACATATTTTTCAGTAGCGGAGTTACGGTCTTACGGATAGTTTTTCCACCTTTTAGCTTCACTAACGCTATCGAAACGACCAGTGGCCAATAACATACTCGTACAATTATTTTTTAATTTTCTATTGATAATATGGATCATGATAATACTATAATAATTAATATTTAATACTTAATAGAATAATAGCTTCAAAATTTCAATTCATGAACTAATATAATATATTTTGATAATATAGTTAATACTTTAATAGTATAGGAATAATATCTAAGACCGGGTTTAATACTTTATGAATTCACAATAAATAAGTTAAGAGTTACATTTTACAGGGGCATAAACACACATTTTACGAACTGATGATATAAATAATTTTCTGTGTAAAATAATTTAAAATGTTTAAATATTACAACAATAACATACTTCTTCAGTTAGGTTGACACTAATTTTGACAGCTTTTTCTTTTTAAAACTTTTTTGTTTTACTTCTTTGTTATGTACCAAAGTAAAATGTTTCAGCCCCATTTTAATGTAATAATGGAATATTGCTATCATGATTTCTGTCTTATAATATAGTTATATGTATGTTACAAGGAAATGCGAGCAATTTATAATGCTCAATAATAACATGATCGATGGTTTTGTTAAAAACTTCGGGGTCTTAAGCAAATTTTACAAATCCTTTTTCGGTCACCCGGTCACCGTGATTAGTTTGAACAAATGTTTGTTAGGATATAAAAGATAACCTTTTGATTTTAAATTGGTAAGTGCTGCTTCGGGTAGTTGAGGTTGAGCATCCCAATCTGTACCCGTATAATAGTTGTTGACAAGTTGTAAATATATTAATACTTCATAATATGAATATGTATCAGTTATATTGTACAAAAATAAAATACCTTTAAAAGCAGAAGGACAAACATTACATTTTGTATGTCTTTGGATTTTTTTGCTGACGTAACCATACAATATATATAATACAAGACGCATTCTTTAGCTGCTACTGATCTTAGTTCGTAATGATGTATAGTAAGTATATAATATACCATGTTACAATATAACTTATAAATTATAAGACGTCAATGTGTCAAATTAAAATTTAACAAAAGCTTATAAAACCTGTACATTTATTTTTATTATTTTTTTTATATAAATCTTTACAGACAGACGATTTTTGATCATAGTTTGAAATTATAAATAGTTATTTATAAATAATAGTTATTCAATTAAACGTGTGTTAATTTCCAAAGATTTTGATTAAAAATTGCAAAATGAATAGGTGATTAGTGATTACCTATATAATAAAACAAAAAAATTCTCAATAACTATTTATGGCCTAAGAGGCAACAGTAATGATAAAAACTACAATACATATATTATATTATACATGGTACAAATTATAATTTAATGTCCTAATTAATCTGTGTAACCCACCAACTACATAAAATATGTATTACCATTTACCATTCTATTTTAAATAATAATTATTGACTATTGTACCTCAAAACACAATTCACAATAGGTATTTATTCAACGATATCACAGTAGGTATTCTTTTTCTCGTGTCCAGGTGAAAATTAATAATACACCATTTTAGTAAGTAAAGCCACGAGCCACGGCTATACTTACCTAGGAATAATAATCAATGCTTAATATAAATTATAAAATTGTAAAATGTATACATATTTATATATTATATATATTATATTTATTGAATCGAGTAATATTACATTCAAATATCACACAATGGCATCTATTTTTTATTCATATATTTATTACAAGTGTTTAAACACCCCGGTAATGGTATGTGTAATATTTTTTCCAATTTACTGACAATATAGTTGTCGTTTTGAATAGGTTTCAGGTCGTTTCGTACTTTTTCCAACTCTTTGAACAAACAATCGAACCGTTGGTCCTAAGTACAACGTAAAAAGTAATATAAAATGTAGTAGGTACATTAATACAAGCATATAATTTTAATACTCGGACTCGAGTCTCAATAACAATTATATATAATTTATTATAATTTATAACCAATATTTAATATCCATAAGTTTGATTAAACATTTAACATTTACCAAATCATTTTTGCCAGGAAACTCAACCTTTCCATTATTTACAGCATATGGCCACTAGATATACAAAAACAAAACATTTTATAGTTAGTTATACATTTCATGGCTGGTAAATAGGGTCTCAAATGATTTTTCTCGGTTGATTAAATCCCAGAAAAAAATGTTAGTCCATTTATCACGATTTTTAAATTAGAAGTAAAAGTTTATAATTATGGTAGGTATTTTATAAATTGTATAAATTAAAAAATTAATTTAATTTTTAGTATTAAAATTAAATAAAAATATATGTGTTTTCTAATCTTCATAAGAAATCAAATTGTATATAATAATTATGGTATAAATGCGGTGAATACGGTTAGACCCCTACTTGCTTATCAGTTATTGCCATTATCGACGACATAAGATACAAAATTATAAATCCAATGTACCTACTACCCGTCTACCCACCTATATTTTATACGACTGCATTAATGCATTTTTTATAATAACACATACAATTATGACTTGATAATATTTGTTATAATTGTATATTTTAAATGACCATTATTTTATACTAATGACACGCGACATTAAGAAATTTTAAAAGATTCTACTGATTTTAGTACATATTAAATATTTATTTATACATAATATTATGAAACTTACAGTAATATGTTGTTCCATCAATAAATTTTTTCGAATCTGTAATAGGTAATATATTTGTATAAATTCAATTGTGTGAGATGAAATATGATAAAATAGGATAAGCAATATTCGAATTTTAAGTCAAAACATACAGATTTTTGAAGTTCAAATTGCAGTTGATAATTCATTTTCAACATGCACTCTAACCGTTTTCTATAAATCTCAACTTGTTGTTTTATGTTTTCGATTTCATTTTTTTTTATTTTCTCTGAGACAGATTCTCTAGATAGATTGTTGGATCTAAAAATGAAAGTTCATGTAATGATTTATTGGACTACCTAACATAAAATACCTATAATATGGATAAAAAAAAATTATGAAATTCAATTGGTTTAAAAATAATATTTTTAAATTTTAAATTGGTATATATTTTAGTCACGAATAAAAAATAGCAAAGAAAAATAATTTAAATAATTATATTCATGAATACAACTAAAATTTACTCTGAGTAGCGAGAATAAATGTGTTTTATTTAATATTGTAAACGTACAAAGAACTGAGAGAATATTGAGGTTTCGTACTGCATCTGCAACAATTGTTGTTTCCATCAAGAAATCCGTCTGTAGAGCAATCGTAGAACACCGACGTGCACGCCTAAGTACATTGAGGTATAGTATGTAGGTATATAAGTTTGAAAAATATGTTGTTAGTAAATTTATTGTTATCCACATTACAATTATAAATTATAATTATATTATGTATTGTCATGGTTTTAGCTACATATGATATGCTGGCTGCTGGCATACCGTATACGGGTATACGTAAATGTACATCTACACTAATACATTCATACATTCATCATTCATGCATTAAAATAAGATATTATATATACAAAGGTATCTAGTGATCTAGTGTCAACACTCAACAGTAGTACAGTCTCAAATTTGAGAATCCATATCAATAACCTATATTTTTAAATTAATATTTTTGAATTATGATTTTGAGCAATAATGTGGGTTATAGGCATATAGCAATAATAATATACTGTATTACCTATTTAATATTATGGAACCACAATAAAATTATTATGATTTACAGTATTCATTCTAGTTTAACTTAAAACTCAAAATAATAACATAAACATTTTCCTTTTAAAAATGTAAAGTGACCAAATAATTTGCAATATGTTTTATTTGTTAATTAATTATTACATACAATTGGTTATTGGTAAAGGCTGTCAGACGTATAAAGGATTATTTATTCTGTAGCAGCTACTATGACGAAGATTAATCATTTTTCAACGTACCTACCTACATATTTTATAAAAAATCGTTATGGAACACACTACATATCATACATAATATAATATGTATAAGACACCATAAGTGTAACGTATAACAGCTGCGCATTGCGGAAAAAAACAATTTCTGTCGTGCTGTTTCTCGAGGCCAAATCGTTGATTCTCAAATTCTTACTTATATATAATATATACTTACATGCAAGGTGATTTTAATACTTATAAAAGTAATATACTTTCAAACACTTTGATTTTTTATCTGATATAATTAGTCTTGTGGAAATTCCAACTATTTTTTTTGAACAAAATAATTTTTTAGCAAATTGTTTTTTGAAAACGTTAATGACATCCATTATGCATTAAAACCAACATTTGGACGAACAATTTTTGGGTTTTTAACTTTATGACACGTATTATAGCAAGGATAATAGCCCCCGCTACTTATGTTTGGATGTTTAGATTTAGAAGATATTATTATGATGGGGGTCATGATTATTTAAACATTTTGAACATTATATTAGTTAATATTAACCAATATTAATCTAAAATGTTATAATTTGTAAGAATTGTCTGAGTATAATTAGTACTATAGAGTATAGACTTAAATATAAATTATAATATTACCTAGGGAATTACATCTATTTCATTGTATTTTATATTTGATTAATCCAAGGAATATTATCCTGAGTAGATAATATATAAAGTTTAATAACTCAGAAATTACTCGTTCGAATTTAGATGCATAAACATTTTTAAAAAAATCCTTTACCTAACAATTCTCATTAAAAAGTGAAATTATATTTTATTATTACCTTATAAATCTTAGTATTTATTAGAACCTGTGGTAAAAAAAAAAATAATTTTATCAGAATGTGAATATTTGTTGCATTATTGAATAATAAAATGGGGGTGAGCAATGAATATGCTCGGTGAATCATCACTCGCTATTCACTGTACAAGGGTGCGAACGAGGGCGTTTTATACCACGCCGTTCTACATCGTATATTATATGCTAAATCATATGGTTTTTTGTAGGGAAAAAATGATTTACACAACCATTCATCTTAATATTTAGATATAAATATAAATATCTTATACGATTGAGTCACGGTCGGTATTCGTGTGCAGGTGACCGAGATTGTCATCACAGCTCGCTGAATCAAAATATTCCATCCTAGACGATTCTCCTCCGACAGTGGTGCACTGCGGACGTATATCACAATCGGTTTTTGTATTTTGTGTCATTTGGGCCGGCTTTTGTGGCAATTCATCGTCCCAATTGTCGAACGACGCTTCTAATCGATCCAGTATGAGCGTGGACATTAAATCCTTCCATTTCACAGTGTCTGGAGCGCTGTTCGACCACATGCCTTCGTCCCGATTTGGCTGAGTAAAAGTAAAAACCAAAAAACTTAATTATATACGCATATACAGGTTTTCTACTTGTACATCGAGAATATCTGACAACTTAACATATTATTTTTAAAAAAACATTTCAATACGTCAGAGGTTAGTGTTGAACACTGACACTGTACCTATATATATTAATGTATATATGTGTCTTAAAATGATATATAGAATATGGCACTACTAAAATAGGAATATTGTACATGTATAATATTATAAACTGTTGGCTACACAATAATAATGAATTTGATGATTAATATTAATTTAGTTGCAAGCAGAGATGGACAATGAGAATAAACCCAATTAAATAATTAACCCCGATCAAACGAATAATTTTAAACCAAACGCCCCCCCCTCCTCCCCTGGTTACAATAGTACTAATTTCAAAAGAATCTTACCGGATTTTCATTGGCCATAATATTAATAATATTGTATGCGTTGTTCTGTCGTAGAGTTATATGTTATATACTATAATTTAGATATTTAGTTCGTCGAGTATAGCTATTATTAATGTTGGTGTATGTATATGATTGTATTAAAAGGTTCAAATAAAAGAAAAATTCAAAAATATTGTTTATTAGTCGTGGTGCAACATAATAGTTGTTATGTTTATGTTATAAAAAATAAAATACGTGATTTCGTTGTCACAATAAGAATAATATTATTCGTATAATAATCTCGTTCGAATAACCCGCCATCAAAGGTTGGTCACACTGCATGGCGATGTATTCCATAGCGTCCGCCACGGGCGGCTCACTGTGTTTACATTCGATTTTTTTTTTACATCTAATATTTTAATCTGCATTCTGCACTTCTGCAGCAGCCGCCAGCAAGCGGATTGCGAGACGCGAAGCTCTGCCCTTTGCTTTTCTGTCACTTACGTGTTAATATTAAATCCCGGTCGTCGACTCGTAGACCGTAGTCGTAGTCTGCCGCCGAACGACAAAACTGTGTCATTTCGTTATTCATATCGATTATTAAATACAATTATCCCGAGTCGTTGAACACTTACCGGAATTAAAAATCATATAGTTTGCTCGCCGAACCGTTCACCAGCCATTGGGATTGATGTCTCGTTCGTTCTACGTATCTTTATAAATGTAAGTAATAAAATTCAAAAATAACAAAAATATAATATTATAGTGTACCAAACGTGTAGCTTGTAGGTAGTATTCCTATTTTTTTTTTTTTTATAGTTAGCAATAATTTATTTTTGTTTTGATTTTTCCACCGACTAAGATTTATATATCTTGGTCCATGGTTTATTTCTATGTTAGCTAGCTTGATTTTCTTTTGTAGTAGTATTGTGTTGGAGTTTAAATTTTGGGGCATTCAATGACTAATGGTGGGTTGACTGTGTTGTCTACTATGATAAGGGTCCTCTTTACAGTTAGGGTCGCTCATATCCATTTTTAATTAGGAATAGGGTTTTTGTAAGTTACAAAAAGAAACCAGTTATGTTTTTGTTTTTGTGCTAGCTTGTTGTGTAGAAAACATGCAGAACCAAGAGCATTTGCTACAAGAGATTGAGGGCATCGATGATTACTGGGGCCCAACTTTCCGAGCCATATACGACCAAGATGATGACAGCCGCAAATTCATTGACACTTTGGACAACCGCATCAAACAATACGACAAAGAAATCGAACGTATGTGCAATTTCTATTATCAAGGTTTCATAGATTCCATCAGAGAATTGCAGCAAGTAGAAAACCAAGCATCTAAATTAAAAAAACAAGTTGTTCAACTTAATTCAAATGTTCAAACCATTGTTGCTGAGGTCACCGGTGCTGGCGAAGAGTTGGTTCAAGCCAGACAGGTGGAGAATAATATTCAAATGGCTATTAATAGTTTATCTTTATGTTTGCCTGCACTCTCTTCATACAGTAAATTACAAAAGCAAATGGCTGACAAACGCTATTATCCTGCACTGAAAACATTAGAACAACTTGAACAATTATATTTACCTCAAGTATCTCATTATAAATTTTTTAGACAAATGATAGACAAAATCCCTAAACTTAGAGAAAATATCAAAGAATCATCTATGTCAGATTTAAATTGTTTTTTAGAAACCATAAGAAAATTTTCTTCAAAAGTTGGTGAAGCTGCAATGAAACATAGTGTTGAACAACAAAACTTTGATTTTGGCTTAACTAAATTAAAGAAAAAAAAAGATTCACCAGAAGATAACTCTGACGATGAAGATTCATTGAGTGCACAAGATCTTATTGATTTTTCGCCTGTATACCGTTGTCTTCATATTTGTACTGTATTGTCTTCACGTGATACCTTTGACGCTTATTATAGGCAACAAAGAAGAGAACAAGCACTTTTAACTCTACATCCTCCTAACAACATGCACGAATCTATTGCAAGCTATTGTTATTATTTACAATGCATTGTAGGATTCTTCGTTGTTGAAGATCATGTATTAAACACTGGAAATGGATTGTTAACAAGACCTTATTTGGAAGACTTATGGAAAATGGCTTCTGATAAGGTAGTAAGCATAATGAGAACAAATACCGCCTACTGTACGGATGCAAATTTACTCTTAAGAATTAAAGATTTAATTATGGTATTTTGCATTACACTTAGAAGTTATGGATATCCTGTTAAAAACTACATGGAGTTATTACATGAAATTCAAGAACATTACAATGAAATACTTATGCAAAAATGGGTTCAAGTGTTTAGGGATATTCTATATAGAGAAACTTTTTGTCATCTCCAGGTTGACAATCAGGATCAATATGATAATGTAGTCCGAACTTTTCCATATCAAGATGATCAATTAGAATCTTCAACATTTCCTAGGAAATTTCCATTTTCTTCAATGGTGCCTAGTGTTTATGACCAAGTAAAACAGTTTATATTTGCTTGTCTAAAGTTTTCCAATGACCTAAATTTTAGTGAAGGTGAAGTAGATGAAATGGTTCAAAAATCTACCAAATTGTTACTATCTCGGACATTTAGTGGATGCTTATCATCTGCATTTCATCAACCACGACTTGGTCTTTTACAAGTAATACAGATTATTGTTGATACTGGATATTTGGAAAAATCATCAAAATCAATTCAACAATTTGTATCTGAAGCTACTGGATCTACTGGTGGCACTGTTGGTGACGATGCAGGAATAACATTGGGTGTGGCCAGAAATGATGCTGAACACCACATGTATGATAAGATGAAATTAAAATTGAATGAATTTTTAGATTTAGAAGACTATGATTGGATGTTAGTCGAACCAACTGGTCAAGCTTCCTCATTTGTGACTGATTTAATAAACTTCCTACGAGTTGTTTTTAATGCATTAAGAAATCTTACTGAAGAAGTTTCTGTTCATGTGTGTCAAGTAGCATTTGAACACATATCAAAATCTATATTAAATTTATTACTCAGTGATGATATTAAACAATTATCTATGGGTGCCTTAAATCAACTAAATCTGGATGTTATACAATGCGAAATATTTGCTGCATCAGAGCCTGTTGGGAAGACAGATGAACCAGATTTCTCTCAGCATTTTGCACCATTAAGACAACTTTTAGACTTACTCCTGAGCTGGGATTGGTCGACCTACTTTCATGATTATGGTCAAGAAACGTCAAAATATTCTCATGTTAAACCTACTACAGCCATTATTGTTTTAGAAAAATTAAAAGAAGCTGATAAAAAAAGTGTATTTTCAGTATTAAAGAAAAGTGAAAGAGATAAAAAAAAATTATTAGAAACTGTTTTAAAACAGTTAAAGCAATTAGCAATAACTGTTCAACAATAATTATTTGAATACATTTTTTTATAAATTATAGCTATTTAACCAAATACTTATTGAACCCACTACCTAACAAGGGTTTATATATTATAATATCTTAATGTACTAAATTATAAAATAAATGTATAATGTAAACCTACTTAGTTGATATTACCTAATTATTATTATTATTATCGTATGGTGTATTACCTAATAATTAATATGCCAATAAACATCTGAATATACATGTTATCATATTTTATATTTACGCTCCCCGCATTCATTTATTTGTTTATGTTTATATTTATTTAATAAGTAAGTAGTTATTTTTTACATTGTTAACCAACATTTAGAAAGTTTGTTTTTATTTTATTTATGAAAATCTAAAGCCAGTTAGTTGTTAATCAAATATTACAATGTAATTTTTTGAAGTATGTAATCACTTTGAACTGAAATAATAGACATTTTATGTTATCATTTCTACAAAACTTGTTGAATAGGTACTTGTAATTCTTTCAAAATCGCAGTTTTTTTTTTCACCATTGTATGTTCATGAACAAAGTGACTTTTGTAAATAATAGATTTAACACAACTAATAAAAATTAATAAACCATATGTTTTATTCAATCTATATTCTAATACTCAAATAATTATAAGTAGACCTTCCTAAAGTATTATAAAATACCTAATCAAATATGTTCTACATTTTATTGTTCTCTTTATATTTGGCTATTAAGTTATTTACATATAAACTCAGAATTTAATTAGATAATAATAAAATTAGGTTTGTAGTCTTTAAAAAAAAAAATGATTAGGCAATAAAATGAAAAATATAAATGTTCACTGTTCCAATTTAAAATAGTTTAGTTTTTTCCACATTATAATTTTGTTAAAGGTTATGATGTCAAGTAACGAAGACTATATTACACTGGATGAAATAAACAATGCATTGGAGTTGCTGGACAGAGATGAAATTGCTTCAAGGAAACGTCTGGCAACGTTTACCAATCAATGGCCTACTGTTATTAAGGAGGTTGACTCTGTTACTAAAAAATTTAGTGCTTTAACGTCATTCAAAGAAAACTTATCTCAAATTCAAACTAGAATTCACGATTCGTCTAAACTCGCCGAGGACATATCTTCTAAAGTTCGACAATTGGACAAAATACGCGGACGTGTATCAGAATGCCAAAAACGAGTTCAAGACTTATTAGACCTACAGCTGTGTAGCGAAGGTGTTCAGATTGCAATGAAAAACGACGAATTAGAACAAGCCGCTGGACATATACATCGCTACCTATCAATCGACCAAACAAAATTGCAACGTACAGCAGACGATATGGCCCAAGATTGTTCAATGATTACAAGTGCTCTTAAACACTTGCAGGAAGCTTCAGAGCTTCTTCAGGACACAGTGTCTAAAAGGTTCGAACACGCGTCTTTGGTCCAAGACTCGAACTCTATAGAAAGGTATTTTAAAATATTCCCACTACTCGGAATGCATGATGTGGGTTTGGAAAAATTTGTTGATTACTTGGGGCGCTTATTAAAAGTGTCGGCGGACAAAAATTTAAAAAATGTCATGGAAACACCACTGTCAAGCAACCGTGCCAGTGTAATTTTCGCCGACGGATTGACGTTTATTTTCGAAGAAGTGGCCAAGACGATCGAGGTTCAGCAGCCGTTGATCGAGACCCATTACGGTCCCGAATATGTGTTGAAGTTCCTATCCCATTTGCAAATCCACTGCGACACGTTCGGTGACATCCTGCTGCGGACTTTTCTCAAGACGCGCAAGATCAAAGAACTCCTGAAGACCGTCTGGGAAGAACCGGATGAGAACACCGCTGTGAGACCCGACTCCAAGGACATTGATCTACTGGTGGAAGAGATCGTGATGATCCTGGCGCGGTACGACCTATATGCACAGTTCGTGTGCAAGCGAACGGTGAACGCGGATGGAGTGGAACCGAAAACACGGACAGCCAAAACGGTGCTGGACAACAGCCGGTTGTGCTGTTGCATACAGGAAATGATGGGAAAGTACCTGGAGTTGGAGAGGTATTACATGGAGGAAAGCATCAGGAAGGCGGTGTTGATGGATACGATCGAGGGGGACGGTGGAGACGCCGCGCTCACGTCGAGCATGGTGGACGACGTGTTCTTCATCGTGCGCAAATGCGTGATGCGCTCGCTGCGGTCCGGCAGCCTGGATGTGCTGTGCGCGGTCATCAACAATGCAGTCAACGCTCTGGAAGCGGACATGTGTGCCGTATTTACGCAGGTGTTGGCCGCCGGTTATCCGGGGTCCGGGTACTTCAACCGGTTCACTCCGGACCTGGACAAGGTGCGGCGGACGTTCCTAGCGGCACTGAATAACACCGAGGTGGCGGTCGAGTATTCCAAGTCGCTGTCGCAAGCGTTCCGGGACGAGGTGCCGGCCAGGCTGCGTGGCTGTCACGCGGAGAAGCTTGACAGCTGTTTGCACGACTTCAGCCGAGTGAACGCGTCGCTAGTAGCCGCCAACCGGTCCGGGTTTAGGCAGCTGCAGAGTTCGCTAGTCGAGCCCAAGGCTCTGGCGTGGATGGAATCGTTTTACGAGCAGCATTTCACCCTCGACGAACCGGAATTCGCGCAGACGGTGGCCGACAACCCGTTCGTGGTGGCACTGGTACGGAACATCGACGCCACGCTGGCCGAGTTCCGCGCCCGGCTCACGCCCAACAACTACGACATGTTGGTGGTGGCCGTTGCCGCAGAGACGGCCGCGCAACTGGAACGAGCGGTTATGAAGACTGAATTCAACCGCCTGGGCGGCATGGCTCTGGACAAGGTGGTCCGGACGCTCATCAACTACTTCGGCGGGGCCAGCGCGTGGCCGGTCCGCGAGAAGTTCGCGCGGCTGGTGCAGGTCACCACCGTGCTCAACCTGGAACGGGCGTCCGACCTCAACGAGTTCTCCAACCCAGACAGCGGGATGCGGTTCTCGTGGAAACTGACGCCAGACTGCATACGGCAGATACTCAGGCTCCGGGTCGACTTCCGGGAAGATGACATACGCAAAGTCCAGCTGTAAGACCGATGTGACTCACGAGCGAACCAACACTGCTGTACGATTTCCGATGTGATTTCATAATATCGTCGTTTTGGCCTTTTTTTAGACCAATGAGTAACTAAAATAAAAAAACTATACTTACCTACGTTATATTATTATCTGACCACCGAAATATTGTATTCTGCAGTTATGTTTGTATTGGTTAGGTATAATTTATTATTATTAAATTTTCTGTCGGCCCTGTAACGCCGATTAGGATTTTTCTTTCTCTAATTTGTATAGTTGGTTGGTACCTAGGTAGGTAGGTACGTATATAAAAATGCAGTATCGTATTATTATTGTATACAATTGTAACACGAATACCCATGTTTTAATGCATGCGTCTTTATAACATTGTTATTGGACTTAATAAGCACTATTTATACCTACTTATTTTATGTTGCGTGTATTTAAAATTTACATTTTACCTATTACCTATATATTATATTATCAGTTAGGATTTTATTTTATTTTATTTTTTTGTTATCATATACTGTGTTATGTTTTAATATTTATTATGTGATTTATTTTTATTGATTTAAAAATAAATAGTGAATACTTGTAATATTATACCATTGTAATTTTTTCGTCAGTACAATCAATACTCTCCATTTCTTATTTCTTTAAATAAATAATAAATATACGTAATAAACTCAATTAATAACTTAGGTAGGTAGAAAAAATAAAAAGGTTTCTCAAAAGAAATTATTAACTCCGTCTTATTATTGGTTAAAAATAAAAATACTTCTAAAAAATCAATATCGTGACGATTAGTATTTTCGAGACGACAAAGACTGAATGGCTTAATAGTAAATATTGAAATATTACATTTTACACTGGCTTTATTATTATTTATTAACTTATGCTTGTTTTGAGTTAGTCAATCTAAAATGCGATCATGAATTTACAAGTATATAGGTAGGTACGCGAGATAAAACGTTCTTAAGCAATTTAAATAAAATCTGTAATAAAATAATTGAAAGTAGTATTTAAATTTTTTTTAAATATTTATTATTTTTTAATTAAAAATGTTTAACTTTAGATTTTGATCAACATACCTACTGATTGAAAAAAATATTGAGTGCTGTGTTGTAGATTGAATAACTTTAATGTATTTATAGAATTAATTCGATCTAACTAATCGATTGAAAAAACTCGACAGCACAAATAAAAATAAAAAAATACTTTTGTTGTCGTGGTTGTGTTTTTTTATATAGGCGACATCTCTCTTTGTCAGTTGCGTGGGTTTTATCTATTCGCATTCTCCCCAGAGAAATTTATAATTCAAAAGGTTCGGTCGTTGAACTAACAACCCCTTTCGTTATTACTTTATACGAAATGCTTTTGAGTGATGTACAGTTTTCCATTAGTCAGTTTATGCGTGCATCGTCATGTGCAACCCTTTCTGCGTAAATGACACTGTCGCCGTGCTCTCGTGTTCAGTCCATTTGACCGACAGCGGCAAAAGGCTGCAACCGCCGTGTGTACTTACCTATTAACCTACCCATAAAATGTGTTATATGTATTACACCGAACGCTTGGTCGTCTCTAGGGACAATGTATAAATATATTATACTGTCTCTACCACCGAACAGATCGTAGCAGTAAGACACAATATTATACGTCTTTGGACGTTCTCCTTTTCACTGTAAGCATCATACCTACTATTTTTTTTTAAATAATATTATATTTATATGTTGTGTGCATGGTACGCATAACGATCAACAGGACAACGATTCGCACATCCGTCTCACTATTATATATTTACCTACCTAGCTGTTTATCATAAATGTATTTGAGATTATTTATTTTTATTATCACCTATTGTTTTTGTTTTCGATTTTTTATTTAGCTTTTTTTTCTCGCATGACCCGCGTTTTTATGTTGGAAGAATGTTTCATTTTGATTTGTATCGTCTTGCCGAGACTTTGAAACACGAGTGTAATATTATGATACATTGTAATAATATAATACATAATATTATGATGACGAGACTATTATACTGGACGATGGACGGTGTGATGTATGACAGGTGGTATACCAGGTGTCTGCAGAACAGTGATGCAGCGGGGCCCAGCCCAATTGAGTTCCGTGTCAGACCTGTACGTTAGCGACGAAATATCGGTTCTGCTCGAAGAGATCCACGACTTGGAACCGAAGGGTAATATCGCTCCCATCGACGACGAACAAGAGTTCGAGATCAACGGCAGCCAGACGGGAGGCTCGTGGCTGGAAGTGACCAACAGCATGGCGGGTACTCCGGGATCATGGGATTCGCACGCCAACTACAAACATCAGGAGGCGTCTAGGGCCAGGTACAACGGGGTGGTGTTGCACTACGACAAAAGGCCAATGAAGACACCGTCAGGCGTCATCCGAGTTCTACTTTTGGTGAGTTTTGCCTCGTGCTGCCTCATACTAACTAGCACATGGACATTAGTAATCGGTCAAAAAGTCCAGCCTCGTTTTTTTACTGTCGCCCAAAATGACCGAGCACATTTTTCCGAGTCAGATGAAAATTCCGAAAATACAAATTTAAAAATTTAAATGTATAATTAATTTTCTTATATTCGTTATTGCTTGTTATATCTGACAATTATTCTTTTCCTTCAATTTACAAATATTGTTCACATACCGACTTATCTAATTGTAACGTGTCTTTTTCCAGGTCACCTGTGTCTTGTGCCTGTTATGCCTGTGCTTTGCCGGCACTTCCAGGTTGGCTTTGTTCATGTTACCAATGCTTAATCGGATACGGTTCATACTGTTTGTCACATTGTTCAATTTTCTAGTGACTGGAGCTATTCTTTTTTTGGACGTCACGCACACCGTATACCTATTCCCGTTCAACTGGGGAAAATTGGTAAGCATGTTAGCTTAGTGCGTGGAGCATATCCAGCAATTACAATTTACGATGTTGTGTTTATGACTTGATCTGTACGTTTGTTTAAATTATTCCATTAGAATGTACTGTTCTACGTCATGATGACTATATTGTGTCTCACGAGCTCCTCGCTAGTCCTTCATCAAGTATATTCATTCCATGAATTTTATACGTGGGTACCACGTGCTACGCGCCATCAATTGCTTGTTGCTGCAGTAAGTATTTACAATCAGACTGTTGAAATCTTGTACTTCATTTTATCTATTTTTGCATCTTTAACCAGGCTTTAGGTTATTTGTGTGCTCTGGAAACATTGTTGCTGGCCTTGCTGAGTCGCTGTGATGGTTTAGGCGGCCTACATTACCGCCAAGTTAAAGATGATATGACTAGTCCCCCAAATACATTGGCTCTGCGTCAAAGAATTCCACCACCGCCCACTGTAGTATATTCACCATCACCGTCTCCTTCATTTTGCTTGCGATCCATCAACCCCAAATCATAATCATTAAATATGTACCTATGAAACAAATATTTCACCCAGAAACTTACAAAAGTTTCAACTATAAACTACTTTCCATAAGTCTTAGTGTATAATTTACACAATATGTTTTGTGGTTTTGTGTGTGGGATAAATTACGACCAATTTAAAAAGTATTATTAAATTATAAGAAACTCCCCAAAAAATACTTTATATATTTTTGTATTGATAAAATGTCTTCTACTAGGTTTTTTTTTAAACATTGATGTATTTTCAGATTATCATTCAGTTTATTCTATTTGACCAAATCAATGATTTTTAGAGATTTGATTTTCATTAAACGCGTGTATTTTTACTTTCTATTTACTTTCCATATATTTTCATCTCAAAATATATTTAATTATATTGTTAAAGTATGAGTTTTTTTTACTATTGGCCGTCCACTTAAAATAGATAATTGTGCGCTTTACACGGCTATTAAATAAAAAGCTGTGGTGCTTTTCAAAATTTAGGTTATTTCTATGTCTAAATCATTAAAACTTAAAAGTTTTAAATGTTATTATTTATAATATATTTTCTAATATAACTCTGTATAGAATATAGATGCTAGTTATGAATTCAATCAATTAAATATCTTAACTAAAAAGTATAAACAATCTAATTCCTTCTTTATTTCTTAATTTAAAAAGGGCTTAAGTATGCCAGTTTAAGCTTACTGACAAGCTTGTTTATGAATACTCATCATCCATTTAATCAAATATTTTAATTGAACCATAATGATCAAACTACCAATTTAAATTAAGGTCATCTAATAACTATGAGAAAATTAATGTAATCAAACAAAATTCAATGTACTGTTGTTACTTATTAGAAACCAAAGTTCCCGAAATTTTGTCATATCATTGTATAGCTAAAATATTATGTGGTCTGAAATATACAAGTCAAAACAAATATAGGTTTACTGTTCATACTTTAAGTTAAATTACACATTTTTATTTTTTTTATCTCTTAATTATATGACTATTGACATAGCGATACTTCATTGTTTTTTAAATGTTTAACTAAATACTAATAGTATATACTATTGACGTATAGGGACACATTTTAGTTGGTGCTTACAATCTTGTTTTATCAGTTCACTATTGTCACTTTACACTTTTGCTCAACAATTTGTGGCAAGAGCATAGTATGTTTACTACAAGTATATCTCTATATTACCATAACCAATAATCTACAGTATAGGTTGTAAAGTACAAAATTATATTAACACATTAGTTTAATCACTAATATAATAGCCTTGTTTACAATGTATGTGACTTAATTTAAAAAAAAACAAAATGTAATTTTATTATAATAATAATTATTATTATTATTAGAAACTATTATATTTAACACAACATTTTTAATTAAAATGTATTTAACTGGTGTGAAGTTTGTTGTATACAAATGTATTGTGAGCGATGCCCTTGTTACATATATACTTATATATGGGATATCAAAATTCAAAAAAATCTGTTTATTATTTTTTGTCAAAATGTTTTGTATAATAGTATTTAAAAGTTACTCATCTTTATTTTTTTCCGCAACAAATAATACTTAAAAATGTATAATTAATATAATTTCAATAACTGAATGTGATTGATTTAAATGAAAAATTAATTTTTTTTAGGTATACACTAGTGTTACCGTCCTTAATATTAATTGTGTAATAATTAAAATATATTTATCAAAGTATTTTTATATGATGGTTACTATAATATATTATTGAAGGTACAATATAATATTTGTCATACATATAAGTGATGGTTGGTTGTGAAGGAAACTGTATGTTGAATGGGTATTAATAATAATTAATTGAATAATGCAGTTAAAAATATAACTTTCATTTGAATTTAAACTATATTTAAGTTAAATAGTTACATTGTTGACTTAAGACAAGTCATTTTTCATAATATTACACTTAATTATATAATAGTACTCTTGATGTTGAAACTGCGATTAGTTTTAAGTTAAGTTTTACTATGTTTACCAATCCTTTTCATACCTTGTTAATGTTGCACATTATTTTATTTTCACATAACTAAGCATAATTACTTATATACAGTGGAAAATATTTTTCTTGGACCGATAAAATTCTTGCTATGCATTACACATATATATATATATATTTATTATACAATCAACACTAAATATTTGAATAAGAACTGAAAATGATAAATATGTATGAATTATTCATAAATTTAAAAAAGAACGTCACAGATTTAAATGATAACTATTTATTATACAAAATTGGTTTTTTTATTAATTTGAACTTTTCTAATAATATAATTTAAATATTTATTATTTATATACAAATATATTATGATGTATACAATAGCTTTATTAGCTGCTTAAATTAACCAAATAAAAAAATAATATCTATGTATATATATACATCTGCTGTTAAATGTTATTGTTCCTACTTATTTCGATTGGATTTGAACCTACTAATGGGTCTTGTAATTTCTTCTTTATCATCAGTTTCATTTTGCAGATGTGTTTCAGATACTCTTTCCACAATGTCATCAATTTCAGTGACAAGTATCTAAAATGTACAAAATACATTAATGTTACAAATTCATCAAGTAGTTTGGTTTCGAGTTTCATAGGTGCAATTTTATATGTACACAGGAGATGCTGGAGTAGCAACTTGCAAAGCTGAACAAATGAAAATCACAATAAAATTATCAAGAATATATTACACTTACATTGTCTAAGTCTATATGCAGACAACATACTAAAGATCTATTCAGTTGAAACCATTTGTGTCTAATTTAAACAGAGGGTGAATTGACCAATGTACAATTTAAAGATAAGATCTTGGGCATCACCTAAAACACCACTAGTAGTCCAAAATCGTTTTTTCTGTGCACCCCCATGCGACCCCCTGTCATAAGGGAACCAGTTTTGATAGCAGAATCGACGCATTATCTTGCTGAACAGAGTATAATAAGTAGGTTCTTACTCTAGCTGGTATTTAAATTTCAAAGCGAGTTAAAGTTCCTTTTAAAATTGTAATCTTACATGGGTAAACATTTTTAAAAAACTGACTTATATAAATATCAATAACAAATGACCAAGCTATAACATTCTTACCTTTAAATTAGATGATACATTAATATATTATAATATACAAACTAACTACACAATGCAGAACTATTGCAGAACTATTAGGTGGGATCCTTTTGAATGTTTTAATATTTAAAATATTGTTTAAAATAACTAAAAATAACATTATACTCACTTCAGGTCTTATAGATTCTGTTACTGTTTCTTCTCTTCGACGAATGAAATGTTCTCCCGGCCTTGGTACAAATTCTTTTATTTGAACATCATTATTAAATGATACTTGCTTTTTATTCTTTTTTTTTACGGATCCAGTGGTTTCTGGTATATCATTGGTGAAAACAATTTCTATTTTACTATCTTCGTCATCATCGTCATCTTCTTCTTCTTCTTCTTCTTCTTCATCATCATCATCATCATCATCATCATCCTCCTCCTCATCATAATCGTCGTCATCATCATCATCGTCATCGTCGTCCACATCAATAAAATTTTCATGTGAAAGATTGCCATCATTGTCTTCCCTATAACAAGTATTAATTAAATGTTCAAAAATATAAAAATGAGTTAACACAAACCCATTCATAATTGTATAGTGTACGGTAGATGCTGTAAACAGTGTTGGTCTATTCAATCCGCTAAGTTTATCATCAAACCCTACCGATTTAAATTCGTTTAATATTTTTTGACGTTGCTCTAGTTCTTGTTTCTGTTTTTCGTCGGCCAAACGTTTCTTATATTCTTTTACCTTCTGCCTATGTATCTCTGGTGTATAAATAAATATATATTTAGTTAATGCCATTAAGTAACAATTTCATTTTTATCAAACAATACTTTACCATTCCAAGCTGCCTCTTCTACTTCATCATATGGTTCATTTATTTCTACTAATTTTTCTGAAACATTGACAACATCCTGTCTAGCACGAATATTATCCGCAAAAAGGTTTCTTTCTTTTCTCAAATCCTCAATCATATTATCACACCCTAATAACATTATCAACTTGTATAAAAATGTTTTGATTTTAGAAACAATACATACTTTTAATTTGTCTTTCGCAAGCAGCTTTAGCTTCATAAGCACTCTGTTTAGTGAAAACATCATTGTATCTAATGAATACTTCATTGGTATTATATAATTGTGCACGTACAAACACTTTTGGTCCTAGTGGCATCAATATTGGAACAGATAGTTGCTTCGGAAATTCTTCTAAGCATGTAGATAACTCTTCATATTCTTTTTTGAAATTTGTCCACTTTAGCTCTAATGAAGTATTACATTCTAATGCCTAAACAAATAATTAATAAGTGCAGTGGTATGATTTTTTTTCTAAAATGTTTCATTTATCATTTTTAACATTAAAATACTATTATACCTATATAGGTAGGTAGATATATAAATATTTATGCCAATTAATATTATTTATTAATATAAATAGAATTAGGTACTAATATTATTTATTTATTGAACTTTGTTTATAAGATATAAAAAAGATAATTACTACTTAAAATGAACCTTTGTAAACAAGTTCATATTCCCAATGATTTTTAATGTGAGATGGCTACATAACAATGTTAATATTTAAAGTGGAATGGTCCAAAGAATCTATTTAGAATACAAAAGTATTTATGCAGCTAGATAACATTAATTTAAATGAAGTATTATAGACATATTATTATAGAATAATATTAAGATATCAATAATTACATTATATTTATATTATTATTGCAAGTATCAATTTGTATATTAGTATTATATAATTAAAAATAATTATTAAGAAGTGGTTAGTTATTATTAATTGGTTCAATTATCAGAAATGTAATGTAGTGTTCATAATTTTATGAAGAAAATCTATCTCACAAAATCAATTAAAATGCTTCGCTAAAAATGTAAGATTAAGTAAATTAATAATTATTTTTAAAAATATGTATTGTTTCTGAGAACGAAAAACTTAATTTACATTTATTTTGGCTAATATGCACTTTACTAGCCCCTCACAATTTTTAATTTTTGTTTTTTAAGCAACTTATTTTTTATGCTTAAAATGAGAGTATAAAATTTATCTTACTGAAACTCTAATGCACCCCTTCCCCATCCCAGCTACAAAACTTTAAGCATATTGCAAATTGTCATACCATCTTCCAGTTATTAAAAATAGAGCTCATTTGGAGATAGATATGTATATATATATCACAATTCTCCAATACGAGTAGGTGTCCTAAATTACCAATAAAATTGTACCTATACAATAAGAATGACTACAGTAAAAATACATCAACGGTACTTTCCTGTTATACGAGACTACCTTGTTTTCTGAAATATCACAATCCTATTATTTAAGACAATCAAAATTGCCCAATTTCATAATATCAGGTTACCTCATTTTTATTTTTATTAACAAATCATATTTAATTATTTATGAATTTTTTAAATATGTTTTGTTAGTTAGAAGCTCTAAAGGTTTATAAAAATAATGGAGTTTTTCTTGTTTAGACTTCATCCTTTTCTAATGGTGTAATATTTGAATACAAGTTCTCAAAATTCAGATTTAGAAACAGCAATTTGTAAGTTCCTTAATCTATCTTCATAGTTCTTAACTTTTAGGTAGATCATTATTTACTATGTTGGATAGGCTACTTTCTTTTGCAACAAAGAAATATGATAAACAATTTTAAAATGCAGAAAGAGGGAATAAAGATAAAAATTTTGGTAAAATTATGTGTATTGTACTATTGAGTAGGAATTATGGGAAATTGGAAATGTGTAAAAATGGGTATCAGGGATAATTTTTAAGGTTTTAGCTCCAGTTATCGTTAAGATATTGTGATAGTCGCGATAATAAAGGTAGTCTCGGGTGGTAGCATGGGCAAATAATAAATATATTATAACCATGGGTGGTAGTCGCGATAATAACCGTAGTCTTATATAACAGGAAAGTACTGTGGCATTGCCAGGATGGCTTGTGGGGAGCCTTATAATTTATTATATAGGGGAGACGCTTAAAAAATAATATGTCAGACATGAATTTTGTTGCAACCTTCTTACAAATTATAATATTGATAAGTACAATGTTACATGTACACAAAACACCTAAATCATTTTCTAATTTTCCTGAAATTTTGTGGAGTACTCCAGCTAAGCCACTGAATTATTTATAATAATAGGCACGTACTCGACGACCCGCGTCCGGTAACAGGTTGTCGGACCACTACTCACCTGCGCGTTAAATTTCTGAACCAGTGGGACGCCATGCATCTCTTGTTCGAACGACGACGTCATGGCGCACGAATATTGGTGTGGACGGTTTAATTATAAACAAAAATTGAACCGTGCCCGTGATAAGTCAGGCGATGACTACCCTACTATAGTTGGCGTGCACAACTGCAGTTGTACAGTGAATAGTTGCAGCTGCAGCTGCAGCACTGAAGCCAGAACCAAACGGTGTGCAGCTGCTCGGGCCTCGAGAGTGTCGAGACGAGACACGGCACACACGTGAGTAAGTAACCGATAAGGCATGGACACTGATATTATTTGATAAGTGATAAATGATAATGGAAAACGGCTGTGCGCCATGCGCGGCGGCGCCGAACGCGTCTGCCCGTGCTTGGGCGGTCGGAGGGAAACGTATGTTTGCATATCGTATTTCCGATTTCGCAGTACGTCCGCCACCGTCGAACTCTCAGCTTTACCATTTCGTCTCGCCGACCGGCCGAGTTCTGTCTGCCAAGTGCCAACTGCATAGGTAACGTCATCATTAATTTGTTATTTTTCAGTCTAATCGCGACACTTGAATGAAGAGTACTCCTCGACCAAAGTACCTAACAAACACAATAACAACGTCTATACTGCTGGCGCTGCCTACAGTGTTCACTCGTTTTCCGTTTCTACGATAGTAAAATAAATAATAAATAATAATAATATAATGTTTTGGCGGACCCCGCTCACTATTATTAGAGGTGAGGATTGCGACGGATAGACGGCGTGGGACACCCTACCTTAAGCGGTCATTGGTCAGTTGCACGGTGTGGAGGTATACCGTAAAGGTAGTAGGTACACTGAAACCCCGTGTACCTATTGGTCGGTGTACGTTGTCTACCGAGTACCGACGCCGCTCCGTGTGACGTCTTTCACTCGTTGCTCGTCCCCAAAATCCAAAGTGTGACGGCCCACTTGTAGTCTGACCTGTAGTCTTGTCCCATCAATGGACGATTAGAAACTACGGAAATTCTTCGCGTCCTCGTGTGTCTCGATCGCATCACTGCTTTCGTTTATTGTCACGAAATTCAACCGCGGTACTTACGTTGGTGGCTTGATAGTAGCGACGTTGATTTGTCGGTATTTGGTACTGCTGCAGATAGTACACGTTCGTGTGGAATGTTTTCATAATTATTACTAATTTTAAATTTCGTAGTTTCGTACAACCGCGTGGTTTTCGAGAGCTTTGTTCTCATTCCGGTATTTTTGTTTAATTTTTAATCCACTATCGTGGAGAATACCTTGTACCTACGAGTGTAAAGCATCCGATATAATATCGATTATCATTTATCAATAATAAAAATATTCCCGCGCGTTCTTACCTTATCCGACTTTTCAGAGCCTTGTTTGTGTTTGCAGAAACCGTCCCTCACAGTTTTCCTCAACCTTTTCTGTGTGATCATATTGTACTATAATAGGTGTCACGACAAAAATGGTGCGACAGAACTCGAGGCTATTGGTGGTTTGCGGCCCTTCAGGCTCGGGCAAGTCGACGTTGCTGCGCAAGCTGTTCGACGAATTTCCCGACAAGTTTGGCTTTTCGGTGTCGCACACCACCCGATCGCCGAGGCGTTTTGAAGTGGATGGCCAACACTACCACTTCACTACCAAGGACCAAATGCAAGCGGCCATCGATAGAGGAGACTTCCTCGAGCACGCCATCTTCTCTAACAACATGTATGGTACCAGGTAAGTTGGGCTTCCCTCTGGGTTTTTCAGAGCGTCGTCATTGTCAGTGTTGTATTTTATTTTGTGATTAATGATAGCCTTAAAGCGGTACAAAATGTTCAAAAGTCTGGCAAAATTTGCGTTCTGGATATTGACATGCAAGGAGTCATTCAAATCAAAAAAATGGCTTCCCTGAAGCCAGTCAGTGTGTTTGTCAAACCTCCCAGTATTGTTGAACTCGAAATACGATTACGCAGGCGGAATTCAGAGTCTGAGGATAATCTACGAGCCAGACTAAATGCCGCGCAACAAGAAATTATCTATGGTAAGTACATTTCAAAGCAAGTAACAGTACATATTTAACACAATATATTTATCATACATATTTCTAGGAGAAACGCCTGGAAACTTTGATTGTATTATAATAAACGAGTCCTTAGATAAAGCATACAATGTGTTCAAAGAATTTGTTTTAAAGTCCTTTGAAAGTGTTGAAAATTAAGTATACAGTTAAATTGTACCTAAAGTATTCAGTATTCGCAACTCAGTCAATAGGTTTTAGTTATTATATTTATAAAATATTTTTGTTTACTTTATAAAGTATTGCTAAAAAAATTCTAGAATAATGTTATATTTAGTGTTTTAATTGATATTGAGCTGTGTAAAATTATTTAATTTAGTTTAAGACTAGTGAACATGAATACAATATACATACATTCATACATAGTATATTAGTTATCAAGAAAATTTAAAACAATATTAATTAATTGGTTCCATATTTTTACTATTAATAATACTATATTTTATTTTGATAGTTTAACCAATCATGTCAATGCTGATAAGTTATAGCCTTAGTGATAAAAATAGGCTAATGCAATTTTTCGTTGCCTTTACTATTTTCTTAGAAGAAAACATCATAATACTTCTTATGTTATATATATTTTTTATTTAAAGGAAATTTGACTGATATTCAATTCTGAGGAACTTAAATTATGAGTGGAGGCCATATAAGGTCTGAAATCCATAATCATTCTTAAACAACTTAATGGTCTCAATTTTTTACAATCTATAATTATTAATTACTGTCTATAGTATCATAACCACATTTTATTTGTTCCAATATTATGTTCATTTAATTTACTAGCAAAATGAACCAGTTATTTCTTCACTTACATATCGTGATTTATACACAACACAACATACATTTTCTGGCTTAACTATCTTACGTTTATTTGTTGTGCCAAATGTAGTTTTTTTTTTTATTATTTAATTCAAAATTAAATATAATATTGTTAACTAATATTGAAAAACTATAAAAAAAAAGAACATTGTTACATTAAATATAAAATAAAACTACTTGTTCCAAATAGAAAGAATAAAAACATCTAACTTTAAACTGTGTTGATTGTATCTGATTTAAGAATGAGACTGGTATAATTTAATTATTTTTTATACAATGTGTGTTAATAATAAATATATTGATATTTTAATTGATGTGAAGGATACCTCTTTTTGAGATGCAATTTACTAATAGTAATGGCATTTATATCTATGGTTTCTTATTATGTGGTTTACCAAATCAAATACTTGTCTAAAATATATATTCTTATTATACATTGGCATCATTTTTGTGTGGTTACGTTATGAAATATAAAAGTATATATATATATGTATACATGTTACTGAATGAATTAGATATATTATGTAGTTGTTTACAACAGTTATATTAAGATTTAAGTTTATTATAAAAACTAGATGATAAATATGTTATTCAATTAAAAAATATTATATTACTTTTCTTTTAGTATACATTTGTATTTGATCAATGTGAAGTCAAAGATTAAATATTATTTTGGATACTATTTTACAGTATCAAACTAAAATGTCAATAAAATAATGTCTCTTCTAGTTCCATTTAATTGAACTATTTTAACTCTCGTCACTATATTTTAATTAAGGCATAACCTAAAGTAAATGTTACATTTAGTTTATACTTCAACAAACTTGTATACCTGTGTTTAATATTAAACATTTAGTGTTAGATAGTGTTAAAACCATGCTATTGCGTTATTTAAGTTAGACTAATATTAATTATTATTGTCAATATACCTATATTTAATTTATTTTTTTACCTCAATTATGCATAGAATATTTGTTTCTAAGTTAGTCTTAAATGTATATTTTATTGTTTATTATTATCCAAAAATACAATTTTTTTGTTGTATATTTAAGTTGTTAATAATTTATATTATATTTCCTTTATGCTTATCATATTTTGTTATTATAGATAGTATATCAATTCATAATTTTAATAAAATGAGAGTGGTATCCATTAAGCCACATTTCACCATATAATTAAACAAATTATTTTCAAGCATAAAAAGTAGGCAAGTTGCTCTGCTGTTTATTTTATTTTGAGTGTACTTCATACTGAAGTAATAGATTTGTTAAATTGGAATTAATTGATGAATCATTGCATATGATAACAATTCTGAGCAATAACAATATGTTAGCTTCTATTTCTAAAGTAAAAAATATCCTTATCTTATGTGTATCAATATTAGTTGTGGTGGATTGAACTAATTTTTATCAAAAACATGAATGCATTAACGTCTATGAATTAATGCTTGATTATTCAACACTTCTGAATGTTGAAGTGCAACTCTTGAATGATACAAAATATTCAGAATTATATGTACTGTGTGCTTATGACTATGTCCCACATACACTTAAATAGGATAAGGACTATGATGCTACAATTTCAATAGTGATATTGCTTATTTTTTCATACTCATGTGTCAAATTATAGGATATCAGCTGTGCGTTTCATTTCCTTGGCCAACGTACCATATTGCAAATTTATGTTTTGCAGAACCAGCCTTGTGCTATCTTTAGTATAAGGGTAAATTGACCTGTCATTAAAGGTTAAAGAAAACATCTCTATATGTATGTGAGAGTGTCCATTACAGGGTACGGAACAAATTTTGCGCCTCACCCGAATTTTTCAATTTTTTTTTTCAGAAACTAATGTATTTCAAAGAGTTTATAATGATGGTGCAAAAATCAATTGGCAGAAACCATTAGTCTTCAAGTTATAGCTTTACGAAATTCGGTGTTTTTTGCAAACACACAACGTTCTATTTTATAGCGCTTATAATGAATTTTTCAATTATTTTTTTGAAAACTATGTAAAACGATGGTACGAAAATAAATTATTGGAAATCAATAGTTTTTAGGAATCAGTCACAAAGTAAAAACATTTTCACTATAAGTATGTAATATAGATATATTGTAACTCCCTTCGCCTAACGGCTTCGGTCGTCAAACCTCCGGGGCTAAATAGACAACAAGGGGGAGGGGGAGCATACCTGGCTTACGAGCAGACGGATAACCTAACACGTAAACTTAACCTTGTTCATTCTAGTAAAACAAGTATAGTGGCTCAAGGGACCTTCCTTCGCCTACCAGCTTCTGTCGCCAGACTCGATGGCCAGTTATAAGGTAACGTACATATATAATATTGTAGTAAATACCTTCGCGCCATAGTACAAGATGTTTGATTATTCAAGCTGTGAAAGATACCTAATAATAAATGTGTAATCGTAACGCCGCCTTGGGTTTAATATTGGTTTCCTACATAAACTATAAATTCCCCCGTATAAAAATATGCGCAGTCTTATCGTTGAGCATACTTCTTATTCCTCATACATTGCTCTGTATAACATTAAAGTAGTGTTATTCCACGCAAGCATATTTTAACGTAAAATCGCAAACTTTAGATGGCTATAACTTCCAAAATAATGGTTTCCACCAGAAAATGTTTGCGCCATAGTTCCTAGGGTTGATATTAGGTACTTGTAATACATACATTTCCGAAAAAAAAATTGAGATTTGCTCGGGCACTAAACTATATTTATGCCGAACTTTATTTACTGATGATTAGGGTTCGGATTTGTAGGCAATATAATCAATAAAAAGAGGCATTTGATTTATATCAAAAGGCAATTCATAAATATACTACAAAATAAAATAGTGAACATTTTTTAAACACTTAAATGCACATATTTTGAGAAAAATACAAATTATAAATGAGCATGAATACTAATGAACTACATTAAGTTTATGCTATTTTGTATAAATAGATTAGGTACCCTTTTCTATTTAACCAGGTTTGTCCTAAGAATTAATTAAAAACAATTTTAAATATTAACTTACTTGAGTTATACTAGTTAATTTAATGCAAAATAAACTAGTTGGTATTAAAAAAAAAATTGACTACCATGTATTTTGATAAGCTGTATTCAGAAAAACGGCTACGGTTAGGGGTTAAAATATTTTTGTACATCGAAAACGATCTTTCTACATCCACCAAAGTTATCGGGGCGTACTTCATACTTAAATAATTATCTAAATTAAGATTGCTACTTGATGGATCGTCGTCGCTTGTGGTTTCTCTAATCAATACTTGGTTGATCTTTTAGATATTTTCCCATCCTTTGTTCTTCGATATAACTTTGTTGAACCTAACCAAATACTCGATAAGACGATATCGATAAATATTGCGAATAATAAAAGCCATTTGTAGCGATAATACGCAAGCTGTGTATACAATTATAAAATCAACTGAAAAATTAAACACAAAATAGGCATTTACAAGTAAAAAGGCAAAAAAAAGATCCATCGTCTAAGAAATTAAATGACACATTTTTGTATAAAAATTATTTTTCTATTATGATTAATAAAAGAAAGGCATTTGCCTTCAAATCCGAACCCTACTTATGACATTATTCTACTTGACAATATTACATAGGTAGGTACGTATATCGTCCATCTATATTCTATGTTGTATATCTGTGTTCTATTATTTAATAAAAGCCATTTTGTTGGTTCCTATTTTTTTAAATGATATTGTTACCCCTCTAGATTCTAATTGATGGCGCCCTTGTATTTGTGTTAGCTTTTATACAATTTTTAATTTTGATGCAAGTTATGAGTATATGTAAATTATTAAGTATAACATAAATGCTCCAATTTCACTTAAATTTAATTTAGTTAATTAAGTAATAAATATTGTTTTAAGATTTACACATATAAATGTATTATTTTTTGTACTATTTTCTATAAAAGTATTAAAACAAATTTAACTAACATTAAATCGTCTACATTACTTAAGAGTTAAAACTTATGATAACATTTAATTTTATAGAAATTGGCTACCGAAACTTACCACAAATAACACCTGAGAGCATAATTGAAAAATAACAGATTTATTCATTTCATTTTTACAATTTTTTATTTTTGATGGTCTTAAAATATTTGGTTGTGAAAAACCAACAAAGTTAATCAAGTTTTTCGATGGTATTAATGTATTCGGCCTTTATTTTTATTTTTAATATGTTTATCCAACAATTCGAAAAACTATTGGAACTTGAAATTAATTATTCCTAATTTCCATCAGTTGTCCACCTGTCCAGCCTCGTGGGGAATATACCTAAGTACTAAGGTTGTCCGGATTGTCATCGATTAGCAGCCACTATTCACTACATACTCTGTGATGCGACGTAATTGGGTGTTATGAAGATTGGTAACACTGCGTCCACCATTGTGTGGCGTGACGCGTCAACGCGTCGTTTGTGTTCGGCGTCACTCCCTCTCAACTATATAGAATGTGTGGATTGTTGGCCACTTGGCCCGTGGCCGGCGTTGGCCGCTGGGTGGCTTAGTTTAATATGGTCAAACTCAAATAGTTAAATTATAATTACTAACCACTGGTGACTGGTCGGTTCGCTGAGAGAGTAACGTGATCCCATGCCATTCTGTTAATGTTACCAACTGCACGACCAGTCACGTTTTCGCTTCAGATATTTTATCCAGTCGCATCGGTATTTGAGAAATTACTACATCTATGTTGTACATGAATTCAATTTCAGTAAGTACTTAGTGACTTCATCATTGTTAATACTTCGTATTATTCTCCACAGTCGAAATCAACGCACGCCAGAATTGATATTGATGGACCTATAATGCACGGAGAAGAGGAATGTAAATGATATTAGTCTGGATCTGGTGTGGTCTGTGAAAGCCAGTTTTGCATTGAGACTCACAAACTGCTACTAAAGGTACTACCATCAACGCTCTAAGTTGCCCTTATTAACCTTATGTGAGTAAGTAAATTCAGTAAGTGATATGCATGCATCACAGATGCTATTGGTTTTGACTCCTTATTACATGGTTCAAATTTGAATACCTCAATCTTGAAATAACCTTTTTCATTATTAATATATTTTTATGGTTTCACAGTGAATAATTGTATTTGATTACTACTATTATTACCTACTTACATTGTGTTAACATTTTTATGAATATTATGTTCTATTATTTTAAAAGGAAACTAAAACATTTTTACATCAATCTTTTATGCTAATTATATTCCATTGTGAGTGCACACACTAAGCTTTGGCCTTTGCTTGGCTAGTTGTTTCATCCAAGCAATCTGACTATAAAACATATACCATATCGACAAGCGCTGCCCTCCCCCTTCTTGCTGCACAGAGGTAATTGACTTTAGTGTACTATGATTGACCTGAGATTTTCTGTTTTGTTGCTATTGGTATCAACGAGTTACTCCGATTTAATACCTGACCATAAAAAAAGTTATTAATGGTTAATAATAAAAATATTCAATAAATTGTATCAAATATTATGAACATCAAGGTTTGAAGGAACTCCATATGAAACACCAAACTCTGAATAAACGGAAATTCTGAATGTTCTTGTAGACATTCTATGATTGTAAATGTTACAAAACATTCAGAATTTTCTCATATGCAGAGGTATCACGCAATATGTCTTCAAACTTGTTAATATAATGTCTATTGTCAAGAAATTTGTTAAAAAATAAAGTGTGCTTAAAAAATATACCTTGCTTTTTAACAAGTTTCTTGATAATGGTCATATTTACTGCCGGAACTACATTTGATGAAGCAAATTCAATCTTTGAGTATTAGGAAGTTTTGAATGTTTTGTATACATTTTAAACAATACCAAACACTCGAAATTGCCTAGTATCCTTGAGTACACACTACAAATCAAAGATTAATCCTATTCTACTTTTTTTTTTTTTTTTTTCATGTACTAAGTGTAATTCTAACTAAACTTAATGATTTTACATTTTAAATTTAAAAAATGTATGTTATTGCATTGTATTAAAAATTACATCCAATGACTATTTGTAATTCTTAAACCTTACTAAAGAAAGCACAATGTTGGAGTAATGTTCCAATATAGCACTAACCTTAGAATATTAGCTTTTGAATAATTAAGTTTGTGTAAGTTTTGAGATTTAAATACTACTTGAACATAAAAAATTTATTCTATGTATATTTAAGTGTAACTTACCTATGCTGTACCTATATTAAAAGAAATAACAAAAAATGAATTTAAACAATTCATTTTTTTTTTTTTAATTCCTACACTTTACCAAAACAAATTTGAAATGTACATAACTTGCATCAAAATTAAAAAATTCTATTTAAGACTGATTAATATTATATACTGTATTATGAAATATTTTTGATTTCTTCCTATTGTTAACATTTAGATTTAGATGCAAGGCCATATGAAACGCCCATCTCTGAATAAATGGAAATACTGAATGTTATTGTAAGCATTCTGTTAATTTAAATGTTACAATACATTCAGAACTTTCTCATATACAGAGGTATCACATAAATGTCTTCAAACAAATCAATACCATGTCTATTATCAGGAAATTTGTTAAAAAATAGGGTGTGCCATTTATATACCTTGCTTTTTAACAAGTTTCGTGGTACTGGATGTGTTTACTGCCAAAACTACATTTGATGAGAAGGATATTAAATCTGTATGTAATGGGGAGTCTTGAAAGTTATGTGAAATATTCAAACAAAACAATGTATTCAAAACTTCCTGCCGTTCTTAGGTACATACTGCAATCAAACAAGAAGAATTTATTTGTGCCAACCATTCTATGGGTATTGTGGAGTTGTCAAACAAGAATAGGTTGTTATATCTACTTACCATGTTTGTATTATTGTCATTCAAACTATATTATTTGATTTTACTTTTAAAATTAAAAAAACAATTATAACATTGTGATGAAAAACTTATAAAGTACCTATTGTAATAATTATTTATTTAACTATAAGAAAGTTGAAAGTACTCACCTAGGTATAAGATGATTATAAATTGTTTTATTGTAAGATTTGAATACTAAAAAATATAAATTCAGTTTGAAGGAATTCTTGAGATAATATCAATAAATCACCATAAAATAAAAACATTATATTGCTGTACTATTATTTTAATGAATAGTTATATTGTATAATTGAAATTTTCCTAAAATAATTTTAAAATTCTCATAAAACTTTCTTCAAAAATAATATATTTTAAGTGATTAATGTGAGACCCTGGATATTCATAGTTACCTTCAAATTGAATATTTCAATTCACTTCAATATTTAAAATTACCAGAATATACTGGAATATATATGTTAAGAAATTTCTTATTGTGCTTTAGTATAAACTATTAGTTTCGAAATTTTCTTTTAAAAACTTTTCGTCTTGCCATTATTAGTGGTGTTGAATAATATAATAAACATGAATCGTGGAAATCTGGTCCGCTTGGTTTTTTAGGAATTGCAGAACATGCGAAAGTTTCCACGTGAACTAAAACTAAATCATTTCAATATTGTAAAGACTATACGAGGAGTTAAATCGAACTATAAAGTCCCTTCCGCTAACCTAACAATAATTTGTACTATCGATTGTTGTACGATTATTCATATAAACTATCGAATAAAAAGTTCAGGACTGAAAAACGTTATTTTTTTCAAAAATTATTTAAATTATCAGCACTATCGAATAATTATTTGAATAATCAATACTACCCAGTACCTACCGAATAATTTTAGATTCTGAATTGTTTAAATAATATGGAATTATTTGAATAATCGTTAAGAACATTCGAATAAACCATCGAATTATTCGATAGTGCCCATCACTAGTACCGTGACGACCGGTCTGCGCTAGTGGCGCTAGGCACGTGGTGAGGGTGGGAAGACCAGTACCGGCCGCCAGCGATCGTCTCGCTCTGACACTTGCCGTTGTACGAAACTGATACCATACCACCGCAAGCACGACCACACCGACGCAAATCGAATACCATACATTTTTCATTTTGTTTAATAAAAACTTTTTCTGTTTACCACAATACAACACTACACAAAATAATATAATATCAACTATTTGTCCGTGTCTCTTTGTTGGCGTCACCCGATGACTACTTCAAGACCGGCTCACCACGACCACTGCACCGCCGTAGCCGCGGCACCAAGTCCCAAGAAACACGAATATTTATTGAAAGCAATAAGTTTCATTGTCTACACATGGGTCGTGATTTAATAGGTTTAAGACTTGTCGGTGTGCAGAATATAGATAATATTAATGTAATATTTATTTATTTAGTGTTATTTTTAATCCTATGCTCTTCGTGTTTTTCTCAAAACTTTCGCATGTTCTGTAATTCCCAAAAACCAAGCGAACTATATTTTCGTTGTTCGTCGCAGTGACTACGTTTTGTGTAGTACGAAATCTTAAGTGTACAATATTAAATTAAAAAGATTGTAATACCTGTAATAACTTATATGCTCTGTTCAGCGAGAGAACGTGCCGCGCACTGACCAAAATATCAAATCTAGTTCCCCTCACGTGTCACTCTGCCATATGTGAACCGGTTTTATAAGCGTGGTGACTCGTGTCTCGTTCTCTCGCTGAACAGAGTATTGCACCAGGTTTTTTTACAGTTTGTGCTTCCATTTTTTTTTGATTGATTGAGTCATGTACCTATATAAATACATGATGTGCAGATATAAAATGCTTATCATAATATTTCCATAATTTGTATTCACAGATTTAGCACCAACCGGCAACCAACTATATTATTCATAGTTTGTAAACTAAACATTATTCGTAGCTTATATATGAATGATGGATGTACCATAGGTTATGTTTTCCAGCTTGATACCATGGGAGGTTTTGGGAGATCAGCTGACCCACAGTTTTTTCTCAGTAAAATGTGGCCCCTCAAAATAACAATCTACATAACACTTTTATTTTATAAAAATATGTACAATAATTAATAATAATTTATTAAGTGTACACAGGCTCAAGAATGTTTCTATAAAAATATAATTATAAATATATGTATCATGATATATATACCTAGTACCTACCCGTGCTACCCTATACAGATGTGAAGCTGAATATTGAAGTGCAAATAACGCTTACAAAATAGTGCTTAAGCTCATAACTTAAATAATATACGTAAATCGAAAAACTAATGTACAATACTCTGTGCAACGTACGCGCGACTGTATAGAAAACATACACCAATAATGTTGTTAAAATTAATTATGCTGCAAATATACGTACAAAGGTAAAATCATAAATATGTATAATCCCTTCTAAAAATCTTTGAAATATTCCAGTTTAATTTGTTGATTGAATATACATTTTAATGTAAAAATAAAAATGCCTTAAGTTTGTATGCAAGTTTGAAATTGTACTCAAAAATTATTTAAGACATGTCATATAATATGTAGTTACTGGTTACATATTGAATGTTAGTATGAAAATGTGATATTACTAACCAATAAGGTAAATACTTTGTAATACATATAAGTGGTTGAAATTTCTACACTAGCCTCGTACCTAACCTAACCTACCCACAGTACTTAAATTCTGGGTACGCCATTGTTCATACTATTTATTGTGATATAGTATATTATACTCAGCTGTAGATAAAGAAAAATATAAATTGACCACTTCATGTTTATGCAGTGTATGGATTAAATACACCGGGGGTGAAGGCCCAACGCCCCCCTCACTGCCACTTCAAGTTTAACATAAAGTGTGAAGTATACAAAAAATGTATATTTTAGCATGTTGTAAATGTATTAGCGATTAATGATGATTCGTTTATTATAATTATAGATCGGATTTTCGTGCATCTAACTACACCTAAGAAAACTTGTAATTTAAATGTGCAAAAACAAATTTTTATTAGTAATTAATAATCATGTAACCCGTTTTACATTATAGGTAGGTACTTCAAATTATATTTTTTATGAGTAAAATTTAACTAAATAAATAAATAAATTTTACTCTGTTATATTTTAAATATTGAAGTGCATTGACAGACAATTTTGAAATTATTTAAGTGACATAAAATTCATAAAATATTGATTGTTCCAATAATTCAACACCACAAATCTTCGACGGTCAGGTAAACGGATCGCTTGTGACAGTCTCTTTGTCCAAACGTCTTGGCCGGACTTTTAGTTTTGGCTAAGTAGTATCTATTGGGTGGCGGCGCGCGACTCTCAATCTGCTCTGGGCGCCTAAGTTGAATGGTCGATTGCACAGTCTGTCCATACTTATAGGTGCCGGTTGCGGGTAAAGAATAGGTATTCGGTGCCGGTACTGCCTCGGATACAACTTTAAAACGCCTGAATTGTGAATTTATGTCGAGTGAGCACAAATACATATTATAATACTTTAATTAATATTTAATAATATTCAATATTGTTAGTAATGTTATTTTATTGCGTCATTACTGTCACACTGATAACAACACCTTGTATCTGAATTTTAAGGCCGCCAATATTAAAGTACCAAACTGCTATTTGGATATGATTAGACGAAAAATATTTATAAAACCCTTTTTTCTTTTTTCGCCCTTTATACTCTCAATTTTCTGGTGTCGGCGGACAGCCACCAGGCACCAATAACAATATATTTGGACCCTATATAGGTAGTGTTCATTCCACTTTTAAAAATTATATTATAATGCTTTCAATTTCTATTTCAATTATTTCATCAAATATTTTGTCTCAGGTAGGAATCTATTTGGATAATTATAGTTTGGAAGTTTGGAATTTTTCCAATATATAAAAGAAGTTAATCGTCTGAAGACATCTGAAATTACACTCATTAGCACCGGAATTAGGTTGGACCATAATTGTATTATGATACAAACGTATACGTATTTTATGTCATTATACGCTGTGTTTCCTAGCGATTATGGAAGTATGGAACAATGATATTAAATTTCGAAAAAACAAAAAAACGTGTTTCTTTATTTTTAACAGGACATTTTTTTTAACAATTTGTTGTACCAACAGCGAAATCAATTTAATTTTTCATATGATAACAACTATTTTTTTAATGGATTCTGGTAAAGCCTTTTTTTCTGAAAATGTTGATAGTCAAATCATACATTTTGGTTCACTAGTTAATTATTAACTATGTACTATGGTACTATGGTCCTTTAAAGTTTAATAAATGCATTAATACTTTTAATTTAAATAATTGGTATGAATTTAATTTAAAAGTGCTTAATATATTTTTTTTTTATTTAATTCCAACTATATTTTTATATGTATATACTAAAATCGGTAATGTAATGAGACGGGTATAGCTGTAAATTGCGTCCCATTTTAAATTTTTTATGTAAATTACGGCCAATAGGTATACATTTTGTACATACGTAAATTGCGGCCTAGGTGTAATTGTATATATATGTGCCTACCTAAATATATTATTTTTTTTTGCAATTTACCGACTCCAAATGAGACTCTGTAAACAATTTTGGGATAAAAATCATAATAAGTATTATTATTATAATCGTAATTAATTAATTATTTTACATTTATTCAATCATAGTCACGTTTCTTACTATAGCAAAAATGTGTGAAAAAATCTTTGATATGTGGGCATGTGGCTATTGGCTAAGTAGGTAATAATGGTATATTAGTATTAGATTATTATTACGTCGTATAGTATTTATTAATATTGGAAATCTATAATCTCATATTAAAAGTATTTATGCAGTTATGCCTAATTTAGGTGCCAACCAATATTGATATTATCTATTTATTTAAATAGGTATCTCAGGTACAAAATATTGTTTATTTTAAATCATATGATTATTGATTATTAAATAATTCTTGTTATCTAACTTAGGATAACTTCCAGATGGATTAGGAATTGCCAAACAGTGTTTGGCGTACATTAAAAAACCAAAAATATAAATCATTTAAAATTATTAACAATGTTCAAGATTTAGGTGATAAAGATAAACAGTTAGAATTCACTGGAATAATTTGAGAAAAATAATAGATGGTGTAGATATAATAAAACATATTGATTTTGCTGTAGGTACAACTGCGTGTTAAAAAAAGTTGAAATTGTTATAAAAAATTTCTTGTTAAAAATAAAGAAACGCGTCTTTTTTTGTCCTTTCATAATCCCATATCATCGATCCATAATCGTTAAAAAAAAACCTCACACGTGCAATGACACAAGATACACCCGGCAGTGGCGTATTTATATGCAGGCACTATAGGCACGTGCCTACAGCGGCAAATTTTGAGGGGCGGCATATTTTTCAAGGGATTTTTTTTTTCGATAATGATGGCATTGTATATTGACTTGGTAAGACTTATTAAATCGTTTTCTGTTGTAATATACTCTAATAACTACATCAGCCTACAAGATTATTTTAAATTATTGAAAACAATGGAATTGGTTTAAAATAGAATTCGAATTTATTATTTTTATAGTTTCTTACAGCCGCGTGCCGTCTATTTTGAATATTCACGCCGCGGCGGCGCGGCCAGTGAACGTCTACAGTACATATTTATAACAATTGACAATAATAGTATAATCCAATTTTTTCAACTTGAAAAAAAGACACCAGTCCTACAAAACGTTTTGTGATTTATTCGAAGTACTACTAAAAATTACATCTTTAAATTCTTTGAAAATAGTTCAGTCCGCTGAGAAATTACAAAAAATGTACCCGAATGATTTGGATAATACTTTTTCGTCAGAATGCTTACATTTGCAATCTTATTTACTGAATAGTAATATGGATATTGACATCGATAGTTTAACTCCAATCACACTGTGTCAGTATTTGAGAGAAAAATCTTTACATATTGAAATATTTCCAAATGTTGACACTGCATGTCTGCATTAAGAATTTTCGTAAATGTACCAGTGTCCAATTGTACTACCGAGAGATCGTTTTCATGCCTCAAACGTGTAAAAAACTACTTGAGGTCCACTCAAACTGATGAGAAGTTAAACAGCTTAGCATTATTCTCGATAGAAAATGAAAAGTTACAAGAATTAAATTGCGAGGATTTAATTGGCGCATTTGCAAAAACCAAATGTTGACGTAAACCGATCGTTTAATAAATAATTTAGTATGTAAAACATTTAGAATGTATATAAATATAAACATTTTGTAATTCCTTTTTTTTTCTAATATTTTTCAACTTTAATTATTATTATGTTTTTGTATTTAAAATATAATTAAAATTTTTTTTGCATACCTACCTAATTAAATTTTATTTTACCATAATTAAGGGCAGCAATTTTCCACAGGCCTACAAACGGTAAATATATAAATACGCCTCTGACACCCGGTATAAGTAGCTCTAACGATCCCATTTAAAAACTGATTTTCATAGCTACATAGGTTCTCCAGATGGCGGTTTCACACTTACGGTGCTATCGTACAGACGAGTGCTGTTTTTTTTGACCGCCGATATACGTCTGACAATGGCAGCGTGTACGTGTTCGGACTAGGATAACCGTCGTCGATACGGCCAAATTGCAGCGTGCGACTTTTGAAAGACGCTTTCGGTGCTTTGGGTCGTACCGAGTCCATTTTTGGATAGTAAGTGTTCGGTGCCGGCAAGTGTTCTTCGATATCAAAAGAAAATACAATATGAGTTCATGTACCTATAATTAATTATTACTAGCTAAGTTATTCAGCCTAGCCCGTCTGTAGGTTTTTGTGTTATAACTTTTTTTTCATCAGTTTATATTACAATTTACAGATAGTCAGATAGAGATTGTCTTTAGATCAGTATCATTATTATAAGTTTTATCATCGTTGGTGTTATTTATATTTTATCAACCCCCTTGTTTTATTAATAAAAAGAGGAATTTCTGGATAGGTAGGTACACGGAAAGGAAAATTTGGTTATAGTAAACAGTTGGATTATTTTTTGTTGGCGTAACGATTTATTTAGTTGTATCAAACAATGTGTTAAGTTGAGAGATTGTGAGTACTAAAATTAATTAGTTAAAAGAATATGGTTGTACCATCTTATTATATAGTAATTTCAACTATAGTTAATAGTATCTTAGGTTTAACTTTAACCACATCAAATGGTTGGTGTACAAATATTGAATAGTTACACTAACTATAATCAATGTTAAAATAATTTGAATGGTTTAATATTGTTATATCAGCTATACAATTTAGTATAAGTACTATATAGTATATACATTTAATTTTACAATACATAAATGGTTGTATCAACACTTAAATTATGTTATCATAAATATATTAGTATGATTGGAAACTGGAAATAGATAAAAATAACCTGTTATATTCTCGGGAAAACCTATTATCGGCGGTACCGGCACACCCCGTACCCCTCTTACTGCGTCGTTTTAATAGTGCTCTCTCTCACACAGTTATGATTTTCAAGAAGAAAAATTCGAAACGTATTGATACGAAATAGCTACGTACCACCTCGTATCGGAGTCCGATACGAGTCGGTACGTATCGCTTGTATATAGCACGTGTAACATCTTGAACGCTCGAAATTGACCCGATACGTACCGATACACTCCAAATTCTTTCTTGAAAATCTTGAGTCACAAAATAACTATACAGGAAAGAAACAAGATTTTCAAGAAGAAAAATTCGATACGTATCGATACGGAATAGTTACGTACCACCTCGTATCAAAGTCCGATACGGCCATACGGGTCGGTACGTATCGCTTGTATACTGCACATGTAACATCTTGAAAGCTCAAAATTGACCCGATACGTACCGATACACTCCAAATTCTTTTTTGAAAATCTTGAAACACTATGAAATTCAAGATTTTCAAGAAGAAAAATTCGATACGTATCGATACGTACCACCTCGTATCGAAGTCCGAGTCCGATACGTATCGATACGTACCACCTCGTATCGAAGTCCGAGTCCGATACGATACGGGTCGGCACGTATCGCTTGTATACTGCACGTGTAACTTCTTGAACGCTCAAAATTGCCTCGATACGTATCGATACACTCCAAATTCTTCCTTGAAAATCTTGATTGTTACCGTACGTCCGCGTGGTTCATTTAATTTCGTTCGTCGAAGATCATTAAATTCATTGTATCGATTGCTTAAGTCGACAACTCCGTTTGATTATTATTAATTTTGGTTTACTGTATAGTGCGTTTTATGCCATGTTCTAATATTGTGTTGCGTTTATTAAAATATTTAATGTAAAATGTCTGACAATTTTGTTTTAAATATTTTAAATGAATTGAAAGTTCCGGATTTCCTTATTGAAGAATTCCAAAGTAAGTTTTAATATTTATAGTTTTTATGCATAATAACATGTATTGTTTCATATCTGTTCGTTGTGTTTATTAAAATAAATGAAACTATTTTAATGGGTACCTACCTGTCTATTATATTTATATTGAGGTTTGAGACAAATCTCATAAAAAATGTTATGTTTTAATTGTTGTACAAGGTATATTTCTTTGGCAATCGGATTATTCAGCCATGTTCTAAAATACAATATTTTCATAATTTCATTCATTAAATAGTTCAAAATGGTTCTTATCAACTCTTGAATAAATGGTTATTACCCCTGTTATTACTTTTAAAGAACATTTTATATTCAACATACAGGTTCCTATTGTATAAATTATACAATAGGTTTTGTACAATTTTTATGTAAGGTTACTTTTTAGTTACAATTTTATTGTAAGATGTGTTTGAGTTATCATTATTTATATTTGATAATTTTTAGAACAAGGAATCGACGAAGAAGCCTTCAAAGGTTTAACCGATTAATGGTACATGAATTGGTTCCGCTCATAGGATTCCGTATCAAGATATTCAAAAAGATTGAAGAGTTAAAATCGTTTAACCCTATAAATTCTTCGTTTTTAAAATTGGTGGTAAGTTTTCATGAACAATTAAATTGTAAATTACGGTAAAATCTTAATAAATTGAAAACATTGATAAGTTTAAATTAATTACCTAACATTCCTTCACGAGTAAGGGAACATACTGTACCTTTAGTACCTAAGTCAAAAAAATTATATTTCCCTTGAATTTCAACTTATTGAGGTTTCACCACATTAATATATTATTATGATACATACATTTTAAACTAAATTGGATATTAGGAAGGTAGGTATAATTAAATATTATCTATATTATGTACCTACTTATAGATATTTTTGATTTTCAAATGTATGAAAGGAAATTTTATTATTAAATTAATAACTAATAACTATCCTTTAGGTTTTAAATAGTATATTTTTGTCCCTTGGTTATAGTCCTTGTAAAATTGAGACATCAGTGATGCAAATCATCCAATAATGTTAGCTTTCATTTTTGGAAATCATTTTTCAATTTTAAGATAATTTGTCCTACAATATAATATTATCTACTACCTATCACTTTGTATTTGTTGATACTTTTTAGTTTTTGGTTTATAATTTTATTTCCTACAGGATTCTGAAACAAGGACTGTAGAGTATAATGTGTTTGATAGTGGTAATTTGCAACAGGTTCAGAACATTTTGAGTAATGATGAATTAGAATGTATGTTATATTTTGTTTTGATCTGTAACCACCAGATTGTAATACAATAATTAATTATAAAAGTATATATTTCATTACATATCGGTAGATACTGACTAAACTTTGTGACAAGGAAGTGATAAAGAAGCTATCATTGAATCATTTATGGAAAGTTTAGGCCATGATAATATTGCAGGAAGCTCAACCAATATTGCATGGAATGAGCAAAATCAATGTATTTAAAAAAAAAATAGTTAATTCAGTTGTATGTGTTGATTTCAATTATTTATTTAACTTTAATTTATTATGACATTTTTCAGTAGCAGTTTTAATTATGAGTGTAAACTAGGTACAATCAAAGTAGATGAAAAATAATATTAATTTTAGTAACATTAAAAAAGTGACTTGTAATATAATTAATATAAATTAATTGTCACTCATAATTTTGAGTAATGCAGTAAACATAACAGCCAGTTTGCCTTATAAAATTTAGTATTTGCCCAATACAACCAAAAAACTGTGGATGAATTTATATAACTATATGTAACTGTAACTAATAACTTATTTGTAGTTACTAAAATATATTGTTGGGATAGCTAAATACGCCTTAATGTAATTTTCGTGTAACATAAGAATATGGTTAATAATTCAAATTTATAGTTATCCTAATCATTTTTGTTGTTATCTAAATCATTATTATTATTATTTTTTGTTTGTGGTCAGAACAACAAAAGAACTAGGTATGGTAGAATTACAATAAGTACCTATAGGTATTGTGATTATAACTGATGATTGTTGTGTTATATCAACACAATATGTATTGTTGTTACATCAATATCGCTTTAACAATATTAATTTAGTATTTATTACATAGTATTAAGATTGTCCCTAATGCTACGAGAGAATATTGTTAAGGCAACTATATAAATGGTTGTAACAACTTTAAATTTTTTCAGTGTACTATTCTGAAAAGTTAAAAGGTCTTTCGACATTGTATTGTAACATTATTACGTTACAGTGATAAATATGACAACATTTGTCTAAATACGAATATTTTTCAAATGATTTAATGCTAGAAATTCATAAAAAAATTTGATATTTCAATATAAGATTTGAAAATTTATACAAGATTCTTCGTACATTTTTATAATAGCAGTTGTAAAATAGGTATTAAAGATACGTAGGCAAGATTTTTTTTATAAGCATTTAAAAAAAGTTAAAATGTTGACAAAATAAATCAAAATTTTAAAATTCTTTTCTAGTTAAAAATTTATAAAACGTTAAATTTTCATGGCTAAAGATTGGAAAATTAAAACAAGGTTTTATGTAGGGATAAAGTTAATTCTGTAACCAAAAAAATGTAAAATATATTATATTTTCACATTTTTTTTTATATATTTTAAGCCCTAATATTTGTACGAAATTAGATATTTAATTGAAGATAACGATTTTAATTATTTATAGTTACTATATAAATATATAATATACTTTATAAAAATTATTTGTAGGTTATTGAATATGTTATACTGTTATAGTACATTATTTTAATTAATACGTACAATAACAAATCCAATACTACTATTTTTTTAGTTAACCTACTGTAGTACTGTTCCTATTACTAATGTCTAATAGAACCTAATTTTTATAATAACAATAATGTTATTCAAATATATACTTATTTTGGATTTAAATTTAAGTATTTAACACACCCAAAGACCCTCCACTCTCTAGACACGTACTGTACAGCAGAGCGGTCGTACCTTGTACTAGTCCACCTTTAATTTAGCCCCAATTATTTTAAAAAGCAGAGAAAATTTTTATACGCATAATATAGGTAATTTATTATCTCTCGTAATTAATTTACATTATCATATTTTTATTTACCTTGTGGCAACGGCCTCCTTCTGCCTAACCCGAAGTCCGGCTGGTAGAGTCTTCCAAAACGGGTCTGATCCCTTAGGTTGTACAACAGTCCATGACCGTGGCCAGGGCTATTGACGCGTTTCCGTCCAATCGTCGTAGACGGAAGACGACGTTTAGTCAGAGTGTGCTTGACGAAGCCTATAGTCGCGGGTATTGTATAATAATTGGGCGCCGGTCCTGCAGTGCGAAAATTGTTGTTTTATCATATCATAAAATATACCTAGTAAATAGGTGGAGGACATAAAATATATCTTTTGGAATAGGTACCTAAATTTATTTATTAGTTTATTGCAATTTTATAACTTGAACCATTATATATGTGATATTATACTCATAATTATTTTAGTTAACATTGAAGTGATAGCCAGGTACTTAGAAGAAATGTAAAATTTGTTTGTTTTATCCGATAACAAAATTTAAGGGAGATTAAAATCTTGTCCCCCTCTCCGTATTGACCTTGAGTAGATATAATTGGTACAATAGTCGATAGAGCGATATTCAATAGGTAGATAATAAACTTTAATCCTTCTCAGTTAATTAGTTATTTACAGGTAGGTACATATAACACTTAATTAATAACAATATTATAAGACAATATACTTTATAATACGAGTATATGAGTCAACCATTAAGAAGTTGCAAAAAGCACCTACGGCTATATGTACTAGGTAGGTACTGTTCTAGTTGGTTGGCTCCATGATGAAGAGTGAAGACGTATTATAATTTATACTACCTCAGCTTATCCATTATGCAAAAATCGATATATTTCATGGTTATACAGTAAATTGTTAATTGATCATTTCTTCCAATTTCCACTGTACAAATCTTAAGTTTTGAAAGATTCTATTTAGTTTATACCTAATTCAAATATGCATATGCCATGGCCATATGGAGTGTATAGTTTTGTTGTAATTATTATTTGTTTTTTTAAAGCACCTACTCATCCACTGTCCATATACGCAATTTGGGGGTGCTCATTTCTTAGCAACATACCATTTTTATTCTACTACACTATAGTAGACTACAAAATAATACATCTACAATATAATGTTACATTGTTACCTCCTTCCATGATTGATAATTATATATATATTGTATACGACAATATATATTTATCTGAAATTCTGAATTGTTACAATGGCACGTATGTAGGTAATACCTATATACCTTCCTCACGAAATACTATTTATTTTGACTAAAACGATCTGGTTCAATATTTTATTTATATTTTAAATCTACTAATTAATTATATTATTGCAGCTTATACATTATATCCATAGTAACCACCATGTAGGCTGTTGCAAGATATATAAATATATAGGTAACGTTAAACAATTTTTTATTTATTTAGCCATAGGTATGCGTATACCCATTAATATTTACAATTTAGCACCCATTTATCTACACAAAAAATAATACCGTATGGCACGTATAAGCATAAAAGAGACTAGAAGAACTAGCAATGGGTAATACGGGTCAGTGGGTCACCTCGTTATCCGATAAACCATTGCAGTGCGTATAAAATTATGCATACCATAAAAAAGGGTTAAGAATGATATAAAAAATATATTCTTATCAGAGCGATATTATCAAAAATCCTAAAGACGTTTTTCGCGTTCAAATGTGTGCAATTAGTTTTAGTTCATTTATCTAAATAAAAAAGGTTCAATTACTCCCCAGGGTAAGAACCACTAGGAGGAATACCGATCATTTGATTATTTGAATTAAAAAAAAAAAATTTTAATTATTATGTTTTAAAAATCTGAGACATTATTGACATACATCTGTAATAATGCAGTCAATATGTTCATGCATCCAAGTATTTCAGTATTATAACATCGTATCCCGGGTTGCATGCTTGCACGAACAATCACTAAACATTTAACGAATAAATAGTGAGTTAATGTTACATTAAACATGATTCAGTGGCCCATGATTAGTCCATTAAATTAATGAATTTTTCATACAACCCTGCAATACACCCTGAGATATTACAATTCTGGCTTATAGGTGATAATACTTCCCCCTATCTCCCATATCCTGAATTTTAGGGAGGAAAAAAATATTTTAATCAAATTTTAACAAATTTGGTCAAAACCATGAATTCAAGAACCAACATTTTGAAAATTAATTTATAGACAAAAATGCATACAACTTTCAATTTTAATATCAACCTAAGATTTGAAAATGTATTAGGTACCATCTTCATTTTAACATGAATTTATTTTTTAGTTGTGGGGGGGAGGGTAATGGGTAAAATGCATTTCATTACCCCTCTCCCCAAAAATACTTAGGTACCTACATGAACAAATTAAACGTTGTAATTTGAAATTAATGTACAACATGACAAATTTGTGTTGAGAGCAGAAACAATTTGTGTTGTTTAAACTTAAAATTTTAGTATTAAAGAGAATTAAAAAATGCTCACTTTTAAAAATTTAAATTTCGAAAAACCAACGTACACACCCATATTTTAATGTCATACATTCGTGATGGGTACCATGTACCATTGTCTTTGCACATAATCTACTTATCTTTATCTACGCTCTATATAGGCAATACGCATTCGTCGAACGAAATGTCAAAATCGTGTACAAATGTACAATCGATTATCATAGGTACATCTTACTGCTGCAGTACTGCACTAGGCAGATGGCCATCATCGTAATATTATTAAAATTAAATCAAATTAATTGTGCTCACCGATGACGAATGACAAAGTTGTATTAAGAAATTGTATTTAGTAACCTCCTCACCGTCTACTAAGTGCGTATGCCTTAGTTGTGCCAAAAATAATGCACAAAGAGACTACGATTCTCATTTATAAAAATAATAATATAGGTTTCGTTTATTATTCTTCGCCAATTGTTGTGAATACTTAAATCACGGTTCCTCGATCGGTTGATGGTGAAGTCGCAGGCCGCAGTTACACTGCCACTTCATAGCTTGTACAAATTACCTATACGGCTATACGTATATAGCCATATAGGTATAGGTATTATATTATTATTACAATAAATTATGCAATATGCACTCTATTATAATTTGTATTTGATAGTGTACGTATTGGCATATTTAGGACTTTGATTTGGAGCGAGTAAGGATAGGTAATAGGTATGTATATTTATCTAGTATTTTAAATTTCTAATATTTTTAAAAACATTCATCTTGAAGAATATTATGAAATATAATATAGGTATAATATATGTAACGTAAAAATTTCTTTTTTCATTCATTTTTATTTTTAAATATTTCAAAAAATTTGATGTTAAGCTTATAATTTTATAAATTATTCATATCATTTACAAATTATCTATTGTCATGGTTTATTTAAATATTTTTATTTTTATTTTAGAATGTACAAGCTAAGTCTTTTTGTACAAGTATTCTATTCCGTTTATGCTTATTAATTTTTGTATTACATTATACTATCTTCCCATCGGTCAACAAGTACATTTGTGAGTAGACTTAATATCAAGTATAAATAATACAAATAACTGTGACACGATGAGTAAGATCAAAATATATAACTGTATATCACATGAATTATTAACACAAATAAATTAAGTCGAAAACAATTTAACTTTCAACATCTTTGGCTTGCTTGGTTATAGTTGTATATTTGGATTTTGAATGCGTTGGGGTCTTGTGGACGTTTGTGTTTTTTCAATAATTATAATATTATATAATTATACATAATATTATTCCCTCCCCCCAAACATCAAAAAAACTGTTGGCAAGATTTGTTTTCAAAACTAGTTGTAAATGAAAAAACTATTCGTCATAAATCATAAAATAAAACATTCGGTAGTACCTGTGTTTTTATTCGGTATACTCGAATAGTTTTTGCATACAAAATTATTCAGTCACATAAAATATTCGACAGTTTAGGTTTTCTAACGAATACTATTCTATAATTTATTGGTCGAGCCACGGTAATCATAGTATATTGTATATCTATATGTATAAAAATTGGAGCCATAAATGTATAACAACTCATCAATTGAGAACGGCCGAGCCGATTTGGCTCAAATTTTGTTTTAATTGTTCGTAATTGTCAGGAGAAGGTTTTGACGAAAACAATTTATGGAAAAACCCTTTTTTTAAAAATGTTTTTGATGATTTATGTTTTGAGTACCGGAATGTTTTTTCGAATTGAAAAAGCTGCAGCAAGCTTTAGCTTATAAAATTGTTCATATGACATAATTAGTCGTTAAAATGGGGCCGCCGGCCAACACCAAAAAAATGGATCAACATGGAGAAATATGTCGTGTATTGAATATTAGGCATTAATATTATGTTTCACTATATAAAGTAAAGTTTAAATTTTGTAAAGTGATGATTTTCGTATCGTTTTTATTTCGTTCAATTTTATTTATGGCCGTAATATTCTCTTTACATAGAACGCAATAGTCGATAGTAGAGATAAAATGTATGTTTTATTTATATGAAATATGATTATTCGATTATTACGACTTCATTTTCTATTTTCCGTTGTTGGCGTTACCAGAAAAACTACTCGGGTACAATTTTAGTTTATTTTATTTCATTTTACCAATCTAACAAGACCCAATCTTGGATGGTTTAGATTCACAATTGGACCCGATAGGTCCGACCCGGGGAGTTGCTCAAACAGGGATTTTAAGATTTACGAAGAAAATATTTGTTTATATACGGTTGCTATTGGTTATAGGAGAAATATAAATATATTTAGTAGAAATGGTTATTTTTTTTTTTTGTTTATTGGTTGCCTGCAGTGGTTCATCGAGCAGATCAGGTATAAGCATGCATACAATTGAATTTTCGCACATTGCCTACTAAGGTGACCATGAGTTGCGCTTATAGCCGCTCATCGGCGTGTCCGGAATCAAAATAAATATAAAACATATTATTTCAATAATACACAGCAGGTAGGCATAATATACTGCTCGCATTATCACCATCGAGTCTGATATAGAGTTGGCATTTTTAACGGGCAACAAAGTGCACGAGATCAGCTTGTATTTTATAATTAAAAAAGTACATTATAGTTAAGGGTGAATGAAACATTGAAAATATTGAATAATTGATTTGATTCTAGGTACAGTGTGAACAAATATCTCTACTTAGTAGTAAAATCTCACAAAGTCACATAATATTATAATATTTATAAATTATAATAGGTACAGCCGTACAGGTCATTATTTCTTAATGAGAATTCAGTAGAAACCTTTATGATTCTTACAAACAAACATAGGAAGTACCTCTAAAAACAATTGATAAGTGACTCCTGAAAACATTTGTTCGTCCAAGTAAAGTGTTTTAAGACCTAATTTTATTTTTCAGAGCTAATGTACCTCGTGTATTTGGGACCACGATACCACTTATTGTATATACTGCTACAGTCTAGCTAATAGGTATGCTACGGCGCCATTTCGAGACTCATTTCTCACTGTGAATATGAAATTGGCCGAGTTATTTTATCATTTTTTATATTGATAAATGAATCATAAAATGTTGGCATATAGCGCACCCATTATACTATAGTATATAGAGCCTTATATAAAATAGGTATTATAGTCTCCATAAATAGCTACTGAACGTTATATTATAATAGTTTTTAGGCACACTTGTTCGCGACCTACCTCTATGCAAATGGTGTAAAATATGATCAAACGGATACAAGCCGCAAGGTCTCGGAACTCGGAAGTCCTGCGGCGATGACGCAGCATTCGAACGCAAGGGAAATAACAAAACTAAAATCATTGGTAAATATGGAAAATCGCGTCATCGAAATGATACTATATGGCATTGCGCGTGACCACTAACATTTATATTTGTCTAATGACGTGCTCCGTAGACAGGCAGGTATTCTTGCAGTATAGTATACGGTAGTATAGGTAAGTATATGATGCAGTATATAATCTTTTCAGACGACTTTCCCGGGGACGCGCCAAACATGGATCGATCCAGCAGTAGCAGCTATACATTCGAAAATCCCATTTAGGTAACGTCAATGTAATTATATTATTCACCCGTATAGATACCCACGGGGTATAGGTTTAGTCATCATCAATATAGTACCCATTATACCTACCAATAGCCTATAGGTCAGTATTACTATAGTTATTATTATAGGCACCTATTTGTAGACGCTTTGAATTTTTAGCATCGTTCTTACCCCTGCAGGCAGTATATACTACTTGTATAATTAATAATTATTATATAATACATATACCTATATCAATATTCAATACACGTATCAATGTATCATTGATATTCGGGAGCTATTTTATGCATATTTTGTCATTGTCCGTCTTCGCGCAATTGCTCAAATTTGCACCTATCGTTACTTCGCACATTTCGGATTCTATAAGATAATTGTATGCATTGGTTTTAAAATTAAGCTTTTTTGTTGAGTGAGACCGTCATCACTTTTTAGAGCAGTACAAGTGATGCTTAAATCTTCAACTATTTGAGTGTGATTACGGGATTGGTAGCAGTGGATGATGGTTTTAATTATTAGTGTACTTTATTTTGCAATGGCGTAGCCATGAGCTTGTTTTTTGGATCCTCGGGGAGGCTGAGATTTAACTATAGGATCACTATTATTCCATAATACGTTTGGTATGCTGATGCTGGGGTCGTGGCCTTATAATATTTTACTTTTGCAGCAATATTCATAAAAAATTACAATTTTAATACGGAAGCTTACCGATTGTACTTACAATTACCTTTTCATATACCTACCAGTTGCGCCCGGTCTTTCATCTGGGTCGATAGACCAATTGCGCTTGATAATTCATTTTATTCAATAGTAGCACGTCATGTAACAATATTTTTATTGGAATAAAATTAACATGAACATTAATAATACAAATATAATTACAATTAAATGAATCACTATTATAATATTATTTTATATTATACAGTATATTTTTTGTGTATAATTATTAAACATTATTCATAATAATATAATAAATATAAATAAATAGTTTTTTTTCAGATTGAATAAAAGCGATTTGTTCGTCAATTTTAATAACTGTTATACAATGAACGTTAATAATGGTTAGCAGTTTAATATATTTATAATTTACCTAATAAACATAAACATACTTTAAGTATATGCAGCGCAATGAATAGGTATACCTATTGTTCTAAAATATAAAAAGCGCAATAGGTGTACTGAACCTAATATTACTAATTTTGTTTTAGCCACAACTGGTTCATGCTTTTTAATACATAATATGGCCAGATATATGTTCTTCGTTATAAGTACGCCCAAAGAATTGGTGTTTCCTAATTGCCGACAAAGTGACAAAAAACATGTGTGTCGCGGACAAAATCTAAAAAGGTAACATACGAATTTCAGGCACAAATATAAGATACTAATTGCGGTCAAATTTCCAATTATTATCTTCGATACCTATAAGATATAACGATTGTGGACGTTGGGAAATTACTGTTTGATATTGACGATGTACATAATATATTATATCCCGGTATATATAAATTACTGTTGACATTATCGGACTAATTAGTTATCAGCAGTAAGATTGTGCTGGTGCTTATGAGACGGCTGGCAAAAAATATGTTTAATCAGTTTAACGACAACCTTACTCGTTCGCTAGTTGCTTAATATCTGTCGTCTTTTTATTGGTCTATTTTTTGTATAAAAATGTATACTGAAAAACTTAAAGAGTTACGTGTGATTGACGGATTTGAGTTTCGTTTTCATCGTATAATGAAAAATGAAATTCAACGGTGGGTGTGTACAAATAAAAGATGTAACGCATTTTTAAAATTTAATACACGTGGTGTTGAAATAGAAAATAATTTTGAACATGATAACCACGCGGCCGATGAGAAACGATCAGTTGTGTGGCAGAAGTTAAACAATATAATACCTAATGACAAGGCGTCAAGCGCAAAGCGGTAGAGCAGCTATGTGAACGTCCCAGCAAAATTATATACGTTCTGAGATTATACAGAGGATTTAAATATATTAGACACAATAAGGATATAAATTTAATCCGAAAAAATATTCACACTGCTCGTATGAGTAAGTATCCAATATTACCTAAAACACTTTTAGAATTTTATGCAATAGTTCTCGACGTAGCAGATCAATTACACACCAAAGGTGCTGAAAAATGGATTATTGACATTGACAACAATAAAAAAGTTGTATGCTTCTCTACGATTAAAAATTAAAAATTTTTTCAAAAGTGTGATGCTGTTTTAATGGATGGTACTTTTTCAAGCTGTCCATCTCTATACTTAATCAATTATTCGTGGTTCATATGGACACTTAAGTAGTATTTACGACTTAAGTACCATTATTTTTTGTTTGTTGGCGGGCAAATCAGTTAGGTATACTGATTATTGTACAGCACTCGAGTTTTTGAAACAACGTTCACCAATACTACCTATCAACCACTTTTCATAATGATTTTGAACAATCTATCCACTCAGCTATTCGTTTAGTATGGCCAATGAGCAAAATAAAAAGATTTCAGACAAGCTTGGTGAAGAAAAATACAGTAATTAGGCATAGTTAAAGTATGAGGGCGAAAAGGGGAACTTTTAAAAAATATTTTTCGGTCACCTAACGAAGTAGATAACTGCTTTTCAGATGACATGTCAATACACTGCCAGTTGACTGTACAGCTATACACGATTTTACAGATTATGTTTTTTTGAGCTATATAAATACAGATTCTGCATTGTTTCCTCCAGAAATATGGGCAGAATTTTCTTCTTATATTTCACGAACCACAAATGCCTGTGAAAGTTTTCATGCTAAACTTAATGGTATGATTTAATGATAATTAACTAATTTACCTTTATACTTGTATTATTTTATACTATAGGTATTGTTTTTAAACATAAAAAAAAAATCTTCAATTGAATACATTATTTTTGCTTAGTCAAAAATTTGCCTTATTTATATGATCGTGGTTTTTATTTATCACAATGAAAATTTATCTTGTTATCTAAATAGCAACAATATAATTGTAAAATTAACATAGATTTTTTTTCAGTGATGGGACTCAATTTATAGCGAAATGCCCGATAGGCAGCGGCCCATAGGTACGTACTTAAGAGTTACCAGGGCCGCGACTGCACTTCGCTCACCATTGTAATACATAGTAGGTAGGTAGGTAACTTGGTGTTTAATAACGACTAGTTTCAGATCGTTTTTTCTCATGGGTTTCTCGTATTTGTTCTCATAGATGACAAACATACAAAGCAAGATAGCAACAGACAATAATCAATTGTATATTACTATAAGTTATAACAGAAACCGAATAATAAGTAGGTTTAAAAAATAAAAATACCTTATAACCAAGAAAAGGGGTTTTAGCAAGAACATGTTTTTTTCGCAGCGGCCTAATGGAATTTCAGTCAATTATATCCACGATTTATATCAATCTGATGAAAATGGTTCCAACTTTACTGATCAATGTACATTGTATTCTTTGGTCAAAGATAAACTTACAATTACGCAATCTATTATACTTTGTGGATAGGTATATACGATATTCGATAAAAGAGTGTAATATATGCAGGGATCGACTTCTTGATTGTATGTGGGTACTTAACGGAAGAGTTTATCCGGGTGTATAGGTAGCAAAAACAAAATACCTATAGGTACTTCAAGTCTTACAAAAAAAATAAAGTATTTAAAACTCTTCAGGCAATAAGTAAAATTGAATGGCGTGTCGGACGAGAGTCATTCAGGTATTTCAGACCCTAACCTTTCAATTTTCTTATAAATCAGCAGAACTTATTTCTATGTTATGAGGTACGTTAATTATACAGGGCATTTTGTACTATATAATTTGATGTAACTATCAAAATATACGCATCTGATTTTTGTGTTGAAGTATTAAAATTTTCGGTCAAGTACCTACATAGAAAAAATAAAAATAAATTCTTAATTTTATTGTTTTTACGCTAATAAAATTAAAATCTAAAATAGAAAACATATAAACTTAAACGAATAAGTATTTGATTTTATACACAAATACTTCGAAAAAGTCTTTAAATTATGTATTTGAGGAGGTAATTAAAAGTATTTGAATACTTTTACTCAAGTAACTACTTTACTAGACTGGCGACCAAGGCGAGGCTGACACTGAGTGTTACTGACTAATATGAGATATAGTAGTAAATTATTACCGTATTTTACATTTAGGAGGGGTATTTTAATTTATTTAATAACAAGTAAGATAGATATAAGGTACCTAATGCATGACAATTCAGCTACCCCTCAACCTGCGATAGTCACCAATCAGAATCGTTCAGCCTTATATCCGTTTATAGGCAGATACAATAATAATGCAGTTTTCAATTAGGTACTTTTATGTTGTTATGTAATTCATGTAAAATTATATCTAATTATTTTGATTAATATATTGACTACTCTTGTTCAGGATGTATGGGAATGTTTATTATCATTGTTTTTGTATAAATATTTTCAGTAAAAAAAAAAGATTAAAGCCATTATGAAACCCAAACTTTTCTCATTTAAAGAGGCCCGATATGTTCCATATAGACTCAACAGTCAACACTTATGAAATAGAATCATAATACATAACTAATAAATCACCTAACTATAGAAATAACATAATATAGATATGCAAGTATAATTACAACAATATATAACAAACTTTGTACTTTTTATCTCTTCTTAGACAAATGTGCAATATAAATATTGCAATAATTATGAAGATAAAAGTTTATCTCCTCACCAATAGTTAGGTTCACCTAATTTCAAATACTAAATATTTTGTTAAATGTAAGTGCTGGGGAACATTAATATGCATGTTAAAAACAAAAACAAGATATTATTACAAAAGATACATTTTACTATATTATATAATACATTCACACATTAGATTTCAGAAGTCGTGTTTACATGGTATTAATTATTTTTGTTAACAGTAATTTTTTTTTTAAGCGTTGGCGTTTATCTTACGTACAAAAAAGTAGGATAATTCTCTACTTATAAATAATGTTATATGGTTGATCCGTACAGTTTTAATAACGAAAATCATACAAATAATTTAATATCAAACATAAAAAATATTTATATGTTTATGTGTACCTATATAATATATATTATATGTATTTTAATATCCATTGTTGTATATCACGGGGTCCTGTGAAGGTCTATATTTTACATATGCATTCTACCAATACATCATTAGCTATTAAAGACAACATTTTTATGTCATTGCCTATCTTGAACTGACAAAATATAATTTGAAACAGTTATATAAAACGTATAGGGTTGATTAAAGTTATTTTTCTCTTTTGAAGCCTGTATATCAATTACAGCAATCACAGGTTTTATTATTAGAATGATACATATTGTGAAATTTAATATGTATATTGCGTTAGACCAAATTACACAAGAAACATTGTTGTGTTAATTACACAACATAAATAAAACCACCAACTAAATAATATAGTCTAATAAAATACAATTTTAAAATTAATCTCTTAATCAACTATCTGAACTTATACAACTCATAATATTTGTTTCATTTTTAAGTAGGTATTTGCACCAAAACACGTATAAACATATATTCTTAATACATTTTACACGTTAATAAAATATAACATACAATAGTCTGACTGATTAAAAAAAATGTGCAATGATTATTAGCCGTGTCTTTATAAATATAATACCCTAATAACAAATATGAATATTGTAGATCAATAGTGAACAAATTAAAGACGACATCATTATAATTTATAAATACATACATTGGTAGGTATACTATTTTTTGTTTTATAATTCTAAACAAAAATGTTTATAGTACCAAAATAGACAAATTAAAAAAAAAAATGAATTTATAATGAAAGGTTTATTTCATGTTATGAGCTCATTTTATTCTTTTTGTTATCACATATATAAGACATAAGTATTAAAAACAATAATAAACATTAAATTCAATTTACTATCTACAAGAGTGTAGCAATACCACAATATTTAAATTTGACAAACAACATTTTCAGTCATTTTAGCTGCCTACAAGGGATAAAAAAATCAGAAATAATTAAAGAAACAAAACGATTAAAGTAGGTTTAAGTTTATATATGATGGGATGAACAAGAAGAAATTATAAACTATGTCAATAGATATTACATTATTATTAATAATTTTTTTTTAGTAGTAGTAATTTATCAAAAATTATACAGTTTAGTTAAAATTTGGAAGAAGCAAAAAAATATGTATATAAATATATACTTATGTATGTATATGTATATGTAAGTAATTTATGTATACAGAGATATATGAAAGCCTACTGTGTATAAGTGACTGTAGGATATCAGAGCAGTGTCACATATTGTTATCTTAATATTTAAGATCACATGCAAAGAGACCATTGACCCCAAAACAGAACATAAATCAATGGCTTAAATTATTTTGTCCAACACAGACAAATGTTCAATAGCAATTATTATGTCTGTTTATTAAATATTGTTTAATGTTTTGTAAATGCCTAATAGTTGTTTGGTTTCACGATTCACCATTGCCACTATCAGTAGCATCATCCTGATACTCTTCTTCGGAGTTTGCATCAGACTCGACATCTAAGTCGTAGTCTTCTACATAAAAATCACTGTCCATAGCAGCAGCGGCAGCTGAAGAACGAGCAACATGGCTCACTTTACAATAATCTTCTAGTGTTAGTGGAACCACAACTCCATCTCTATCAGCCTCTAATCGGCCGCTTACAACTTGTTTTCTGAAATAATCAGACAAAATTAACATGGCAACTAATAGCGTATTTATAATAAAATGTTTCAATTAATAAACTTACTTAATTATATTTTCATATTCTTTATCTTTTCCTTTGGAATCTTTCCACCGTCTGTACATGATGGAAGCATCTACATTAGCAGGACTGAATGTATTTGGTTCATTTAGTAAAGAAATTACAGATAGTAATACTGTCCTATAGATATAAAACAAAATAATGTGTAAATAATAATGTCGATACATTTAAAAACACTGTTATTGGTTATTTTTTTTTTTAACAGAAATAGTGAAAGCGTGACATCAATCAATAAATTGCATATTGTAGTGTTAGTTACCTGACACTTTGGGTAGGATTCCATCTTTCGCATGGTAACTCTCCAGACTGAGGATCATCTATTGGCGGGTGAAGAATTGAAATACATAAATCACCATTCTGAAAAAAACCATATCATACGTGATGAAATAAAATATTTTATTATTTAAAAACCCATTAACCTTGACCTAGATATATACGGAACATAAATAAGAAACCAAATCACTATGTATGTAATAATAATTTTTTAGAAGGGAGTAACAAAAATTGTTACATGCATTTTAAAACAATAATAGTATATCAATTGAAATGTGAGCGAGTTGTTAAAACTATAGAAATTAACTATAGAACTACAGAGGCTAATTTTCTAGTTAATGATTTGTTCGAAAAACTTTATTTTTTCTTGAGAAAGTGTAGAATTTTACGCTTTCTTTGTTAATTTTTTTGTACATAGATTTTTAAGTTACTGTTAGTACAATTCCTAGATCCTAGTTTTATGAAAACAAATATCTACCAAACAATTAAAACACTAAATCATTTATCTCAGCCTTTAAATTAAATGTATCCATCTATAATACTTATGTAGTTTTTGTTGTTGATAAATAAATTATTATTAGAACATAATTAACATTCAATATTGGTCAATAGATAACAAAAATAAAATTATGTTCAACACAATTATGTTGGAATACCCATATTAATATAAACTAATAATGTATTAAGTTATTTTATTAAATTTTAACCTTCTATCTCTATAATAACAATAATGATCACAACATATAGAATCATACACAATTTATATGGATAATATTATTGCTCAGTACTCAATGTGACCTTCTTTAAAAACGAATAAATACTGAACTTACTTGGGGCCATAAACAAAATCCTACTTATCATTTTAATATGATTACCTTGATGTTACAACTAAACAGGTATTTTCATAACACATTGTGGTATCTCAAGTAGTAATAGGCTCAATAGAACCAATTTGTTCTTTAAAAGGACAAGAACTTGGCAGTGACCTCCTAGGTTAGTGTGACTTTCCTTATATTTGTCCCTGATATACAGAGTATTACAACGAAATATCAGTATAACATCTAATATTTTTTTTTAACAATTATCAGCCATTTTAGTAGAAAATTAATATTTATTATTTAATACAACAATTAATATTACATAATATGGATTATTTTTGCCACCATATTATATTTAATTATTACTTTATTATAATAATTGTAAAACATGTACAATATCAATACCTACATTTACATTTGTTAAGATGTTAAGGTATTATTTTAAGGATGCCAAGTTTAATTCTATATAGTAAAAATTTTTTCCAATACATTTATATTTAAATACTTTTTAAAGGTTTGGTTTAGGTATTGATTTATAATTGTGCATGTAAATTTTAGTACACTGCACAAATCTGCACAATTTCTAAATTATAATTATAATATTTTATTATTTAACTATTATCTTGCTGTTGTATCAAATAATTAATCTGATACCTCAAATTATTTCCAGTCTGGTAAACATGCAAATGAATATTCATATTAATATCTTGTATTTTATGCTTTTAAAATCAGATTTTTTTTTTCATATACCTATATAAGTTTTTATCTTAAAAAAAAGTAAAAATAAAAGATCAACAAGATTTTAAACACATTCATACTATAGTTACCTAAACTAAATAAATAAACTCTTTAAAACATTTAAGTTTTTAGTAAACTAGACAATTCATAATAACTTTCTAAAATTGAAAAAAAATTATATAACTCTATACACTCATACTTTTGATAACATCACAGTAGGTTTAATCTTTAATTGCGATATACAATACAAGGTACAAAATTAAAACAACACTTTGTTGTACCTATTTTTTTTTATTAATATTCAACTAAAAGTCGACTCAGTATAGTTGAGCAAGCTTTGTATTAAAATGAGTGATAACTGATTTGACTAATATTATAAACCCAGATTATTAAAACCATTTTTTTCACAAATCATCTATAAGTAAGAGTTAATAAAAATATAACTACCCATCAACATTTAAATTACGTAGGGAATTCCAAAATTTTTAAAGTATCTAGGTAATTAAAAAGAAATTCAGATAAGTATCAAATAATATAACTAAAATATTTGACATACATTTAGCGGTTCAAAAAAAAATTACATGGTACCTAGATTTATTTTTATCAAATTAAAACCTAAAACTTTTTCATACTTAGCCTGATAAGTTTGAATTATTATTTGAATATTCTTAACTTCATATATTATGTAACTTAAAATGAAGCATCAGCAATTATTTGTCTATATGTTCATTGTTATTTCCGTTAACCATACATGTCACTTAACAAATTTACATGTTGCATAATAAATACAGTTTTGAACTAGTTAATAATTAGTTCAAATTGACCTTTTATTAAATTGTAATACGTACATATTCAAACATATTATATATCTGATCTCTGCCGTTAAATTTGTATTTTAAATAAATACTAACCAGCTTATTTAATAATTAATTTTATTTGTTGCTTATTATTATACTTATTTTAAAATTATAAATATTAACGTCAAATATAAGCAACATACCTCATATACATTAGGATGCCATACTTTTGTCAGAAATCTTATGGTTGGTGGTGAATATGGATAGTCTGCAGGAAACTTCATATGAGCCTATAAAACAATACATTTCATTGATTAATTTTACTCAAAATAAAATAATGCTACAATATAAATTATAAAAATAACTTTTAGATAGGTAGAATTCACTTGTTGAGTAAAAATGATGACTTAAAATATTTAACTAGGTAAGTAAATCTACAAATCAGAGTCTAGGTATATGTAGAATGTATATTTTGAATACTGAAAATACTTAGACAATTTAACAGAAAAAAAGAGGTATTCAATACACAAAAATTTGTATGCAATTTTTGGTAACCTTCTTTTTTAAATTTTATAAAAGTTGTGAAAAATAATGTGTAATTTGATATTTTACAAATTAATTTAAACCACGTCTTTAAATTGTATCCATGATTAGCAGGGCCAAATTAAAGGGGGGCAGAGGTTCTCCCTGGTACTAGATTTAAGTCGCATATGTAATTGGCTTTTTTTACCCTTTTTATTTAATTAAATTTAATATTGTGCTTTGACTAATAGTTAATGGTAGTAATAGGTACCTACATATTATTTTTCTTATGGCTCATAATAATGTGTATGAGACTTTAGATATGAGCTAGAGATAATGGCAAAAATATCAAACAATAGGAGTATGGGCCAGAAAATAGCAGGCAGGTGAAAATTATTATCAAAAGGCACAAAATTTCTTAATCTGGCTCTGATGATGATGAAGAGCCATGACTCACAGATTAAAAAGAAACTGGAATTATGACTTCTTACTCTGACAAAATAAATACACAAATTTATTCCTTTCTTTACGCCTAAATAATATAATTACTTCTACCTAGGATATTATCAATGAGTGGGTTGACTTCTTGTATCAAGCGATTCATGTAATGAATGTACATGTATTTTGATATCATAATATAAATTACAAATTTTACTAGATTGTTTTTCTTCTTTACAATAAAACAAAAATATAAAAGTTGATGTGTTATAAATATTATAAATAGGTAGGTACCTACACAGATATATTATTTCTTTACCCAAAATGTTTGAAATTGTATGTTTGGCTTTTAATTTTTATTTAGCGCCTACGACCTACTTATACTAATTTCAAGTTAAGTGTAATAATTTACATATACAACAGATTAATACATTGATTAAAATGATAGTAACATTTAAAACTGTAAGTGCATTTAACTATTAAAGTTAATTATAGGTACCTACCTAAGATATGCAAGTACCTACACAAAGGATTTAATCACAAATTTATGTTTGTCCACTAAGTAAAGGCAAACAATAGTGATTGAAATGTTTTAGTCCTAATGACTGCTATTTATTTTATATTTAATCAAGGAATACATTAAAAATAATAATACAATAATATTATGCTTAATTTCAAATGACATGTTGTGGTAGGTAAGTAAGTCTGGTCTTTTAAGTATCTGTCCATGTGTGGTGATGTGTGGTGAACTGTAATTCATTTGAATTTGACAAAATACACTTAAAACAATCTATTATCAGTGACCTACATAAACGCAAATTCCATTAGATTTGTTCAAAATGAATCAAACGGGAAATATCTATGCCTAATCAAAACCCAAAAGGATAGAAAAGACAAAAACAGGCACCTTGAAATATCCTCCTTGGTAAAGCGTTTCTGGTGGTCCGAATATGGCCACTTCCCACTCTCGTAGGTTATCCTCGATTAGCTTTACCCTGAATCCCTCGACGGGTTCATCCTGAAGACTCTTGTACTCGTGCGCTAGGGCTCTGTGGGCGCTCGACGACAGTATCTGATTGATAGCCATAAATAATGTGTCGTCACGACGATCAGTGTGTTTGTAGTATATTATTGTTGTAAATTTAAATCGATAAGGATTTTGGAGAAAAAAAAATCGAAAAATAGTCTTTCACAAAAGGCGCATAACTACGACGATGTGGCGGAGATGTTCTTCTTCAAACGACCAAAGTGAGCACACTGCGCATTATTTTCTTTATTGTTACGATCGTTGTTAAGTTAAACGAAACGACGAGGAGGCACACAAAATGACGACGACGGTGCACAGCAGCAATACAATGTATTATTATTATTGGACGGCCGTGTGCGTGCGCGTACGATGTTTGTGCGACGCGTATTATGCGGTTGTGTTGGATATAATATTTTTTTATTCGTCCGACGAAATAAAACGACGCGGCGGCGGTCCGAAAGTTGTTGCTTGTGCGTAATAATAGTAATAACAACAACAATAACGATAATAATATGTTTTTTATAAAATATATAATATTATAATTACTATTGCACGAATATAACAACAATAATATGTATGTGTGCGACTTGTGAATCGCGAGTGCGATCGTGTCTCAGTACGGAAGGCTGTAGAGCTGGTACCGTGGTGGTGGCGAACAGAGAGCGGCGGGAGTGCGTAAAAAATAGCAAAAACTAACGAAAAAAAAAAAACAATAACAAAGATAACGGGACGACGACGACTTTGAACGAGGAGGAAACGCGGCGCAGATCGTCGACGGCGGCTTCAGAGTCGTCGCGCGTGTAGTGCCTTGTGCGTGTTACGGATCGCGACGGTATCGGAACGGCCGAGACGGCATCGGACACCGGAGTAGTGACGGGAAGGTGAGAGATCGAAAACGGGGAAAAAAAAAACGTTTTACTCGACGGAACGATCAGTACGATACTATATATTGCATACATATAAATTTTGTATTGTTATTATCATATTTTATCAGCACACTACAGAGGAGGAGTGAAGTCTGAGGAGTGAGGACTACGACCGCCACGCGGCGTGTCGGGGGCGGGAGGGACACAATGGAACAAGGTTGCCAGGCAGCCGAGAACAGCTGAGCCGACGTGTTGGTCGACTTGTCATGTGCGCCGTGCGGAAAGACGATAGTGTATTTGCAGCGTAGACGTAATATGAATACGTCTGTGGTTTGCGGCCACGGCCATAATATTTATAATAGCCGTGTTCTATGTACGTACCGTATCAGATCTTCCGAGTTCCGACAGTCTGTCGTCCGGTATTCACTTTTCTGGTATCTGGTATCTGGTTCAGTTTCAGTCGCTTCGCTTGACTGCCCACATGTTGTGCGGTGTCCACGGTGCTCCGACTGCTCCGTCGCCTGTTTAGTGTTTTGTTAGATAGTTTTATTATGGTGTGTCGACGGGTTTGCGGGAAAGTGTTTTAATATTTTATGTACAATACGATACCTCAAGAATGCTCACCCCCATTTTCCTTTAATAATGAACTTATTTTAATCGGGCCTCATATTTTTAATACTTTGACTTTTTATAATATTTAAATATTAAATAAAACGATATGACGATACCATCTTTTATTTTTCTGGCGAGAATTGCCCTTTTTTATTTCTAATTGTCAATCAGAGAATCTTTTTTTAAAATTTATATGTATTTAAATCAAAAGTAGTTTTTGTGTATCTATGTGAAGTAAGGATAATGCGTTCATATTATGATAAGGGGTTGTGAGATAATGATTTATGGCACTAAAGTCGTTATATTATGCTTTGAAAGTTTTAATAATTAACATTAATCCACCAGTTTTCTATAAATTGTAAAAAATTGTCCAAGTATAATAAATACTTGTTCCAATTTAACATATATTTAATATTTTTTTAAACCATTTTTAAGGAGGTCATAAGGTAAATACATTTTAATAACTTAGACACTACCTACTCGTTTGAATTTTTATTTAATGAATCTAGATTTTGGAAAAAAAATCGTCTGCTTAACAATAACCAAAAAAGTAAAAAAAAAAGGTTGGATCTCATTTGAAACAAAGAAGTTTATGTACCCGACGAACTCTTTAAATGGTATAAACACCCAAATAATTTAAAATATGGTCCTCGTGTTAGTATTAGTAAGTAGGTATAAACTTATAAATTCTAAGAATCAGGAAATATAGGGGTAACGTGACTCACTAGGCGAGTATGTTTAGTGAATCACTTCTTAGTTCTAAGAATATTGAAATAAATAATAATAATATTAGGTATTAAGTATACTACGATTGATAATATTACAATATAATATTATGATTTATAGTTGATAAACGTTTGATTACCTATGCAATCTTCTAGTTGGGAACGACGTCATAGGAGTGCTGAAAATTGATATAATTATGTTCCTGCTAAATCCCGTATGTATAGTCATGGACCCCTCTCGGTATAGTTTATGTTCATTGAATAAAAAAAAATAAATTATAATATTTAATTATTAAAATTAAATAGATCGATAATTTTATTTTACAGCAATAAGAAACTTTTACGCAATAATATAATAATTATTATAATAATGAATACAAAGTTAGGTTAGTTTTCAATTTGATAAAGGAAATCGCTTATATATTATATTGTGTCCGAAGTAAATGAATACTGTATGTAAATGTTAAAATACCTTTTAAAATACATTTTTAAATAAAATGTCAAAATTCAAACAAAAGAAGCGATTAGTGTGATAAAGTACTCAAATTTGCTGACTGGGAATAGATACTTATTTAAGTAACACCTGAAACTGCAATGGTATATATATAAAGACTTGTCGGTTTATTGTTGCCTTATACATTTCTCTTTCGTTCATTGAAATTATTAGAATTGTGAATCGTCTCCGATGAGTAATGACGAATGACGATCGACTTTTGCCATAGATGATAGATATTATATTATAATACTAAATACAATATGATATTCGTCATCAGTTTTCGAGTTTTTTACTTCTTTTTGATGACGCTATAGATTTTTTACTTTAGATTCTGAAACAGAATATTATTCAGAGCATTTAAATCTTTAAAATTCATAACACCGAACTCTACTCATTATAGTCTATTTAGCCACACTACGAGTCCATTATTTTTTCCGTGTGGTACTAATTTATACTTGGAGTAGACTACCGACTGGTGTTGGGGTATGGTGACAAGGAGAACGTTGTCCAGTACTGGACAAGGAATACAAAAAAAGTTATTTGGTAGACGTTAACACTTAGCAATAGATATACAATATAGTACAGTTGATAAAGCACGCAGGTGATGACTATGATATTACGATTATAATTTATAAACAACAGTTATACATTAAAATAATAGCTGTGGTTAGTGTACTTACATGTGTACTGTAATTGTGTTAAGGGCTAAGGTATAAATTGTAACCATAGTATCATACTAATAATAAATATTATTACAATGACAAATTAATGTACTTGTAATAGTAGGTATTTATAATTGATTGTGATTTGTGAATATAACTAGTTTAGTTACTAATTAGTAATTGCTATGCGATACAATACATATAATACGATATAGTTTTTTTTTTATGTATGAAGTATTATGTCATATAAACTCATGACTAGACTATTTAAAGTTAGTACCTATTGGCTATTTGGTAAAATAACTTAATTTATAAATAATAATTAATAATAGTTAATACCAGTTAGTAATTAATAATTTAAATTTTTAATTAAAATTTAATTCATTTATAAAATCCTCTCGGTCGTTTTAATTAAGATTTACAAGGAAAAAATTGGAGAGGATCAATACGTTTCGGCCACGATGTTTCGGGTCAATTTTGAGCATTCAAGAAGTTACACACTTACACGTGTAGGTAATATACAAGCTATACGTACCGACCCGTATCGGACTTAGACTTTGATATGAGTAACTATTCCCTATTGATACGTATAGAATTTTTTTTCTTGAAAATCTTGTATCCCCCGCCTATTAGATCCTATAGTGTCAGTTAGTCACCGAGATCTACCTCTGTAACCGTTCACCGAACCACGAACTATAATAATTAGTAGAATTATACCACCGAACATAGACTTCTATTATACTACACAATTATTATAGTACCTACTTAACTATAGAAATCTGTGCCACCGAATCATAATGACCATGATACCATTCTTTTATTTATTTAGGCTCTCTACCTATAGATGGCTGTGGCAATGTGGCATAAATTATCAACTATCTGGTGTTTAACTTTTAACTTACAACAGAAAGAGGTTCAGTGATTTACACTTCATGATGTGTCGTGTAACAAAATTATCTCTGATTGGCTGAACTTGGTTCCACTACAACATTTATACTCCATACCATATTGTTTATCGTTATTTTATTACACGATTCTATCACAGTAACCAAACAATACTGGTGTAGTTGAATATTATAATGATTTAGTATATTTTTGTATAATATCCATGAAGACTAATATAAGGACTAAAGAGACCCAACTCGAACGGCCGTCCCATAATGTAACATACACATATGTACATGTATGAACTATGAATGCGTTAATTTATGAGGTATACAATTTATAGGTCATGGTTCGAAATAATGCACATATTTTACAAAAAATATGAATAATCTCTTTAGTACGCGGGTTGAAGTAGCAACCCTAGCGTCCACAGCGTAGCCTGTGGCTGCGACTCATTTCGGGACGTTACCAGCAACAGAGTTTGGTCTCTTTATTCTATAATCCATAGTCCATGATAGAAATAAATAGTTATTTAGTAAATAATAATATATAATATTATATTTAATAAATAGTTATGGCTATCATGCTAATATGCTATAGTAGTATAGTCTGTCTTACGAGAAAAAGGTACCGCGTCTCGACGAAATCTGTTCATTATTGCGTATTAACCCACACCCATGGCTATAGATATCTATAGCCATGGTCACGATGTATGTGATATCACAGAATAACCAGAATGGACACACGCTGAGCACTCAAAAATCTGTTCAACTTTGTGGAATATCAGTGTATCCATGTATATAATAAAAATGTAAAATTCTTTCTGTCTGGTNTAATATTTCCATAATAATTATATTTATTAAAAAAATAAAAGAAGATTTATTTAATAATTTGTATTAATAATTAATAGGTATGTTGAGTGTATGTCTGGATAAATTAAACTATTATGAGTTATGAAATATAATATATAAGATGTATACTGTATATATAATTGGTGTTGTGATTATGATAAAAAATTATTGTATTAATAAACATATAACAATATCGAAAATGCTCATCTACACAGACCGCGACAAAACTATTTTAATCCTATTCTGTAGAATTACTCATACATTGCCCTACGACATCAACGACGGCAAAAAAAGTACATTTATATAGTATAATAATAATGATTCCACATTAAAGGATTTGTTTTCAATAAAAACGGAATGTTAGGTAGAAGTCTGAAATGACAGTTGCTAGAAACTGAGATTCAACTTACTGAAAAATTTAGGTTCCGCCAAAAAACTTTGGAGTTTGGATTTATAGTTAATTGTATTTTATTAATATTTATATATATGGTATAGTACTAGGGGTGTGTGAGGGGCATAGTCCCTCACGCGTCCGTTGCCCCCAAGATTTGTTTGGTGCTTAAGCCCCCCCAATATTTTCGGGTGAATTGCGCCTATGAGTAGTATAGTCTGTCTTACGAGAAAAAGGTACCGCGTCTCGACGAAATCGGTTCATTATTGCGTATTAACCATAGATAATAAAGATATGGATAGGCCACGCCTATGTTAAATACATTTGAGGCCGCGTTCCCGGAGGGGAAGGCAATTGAGGCTCCTTTATATTGATAGTCGATACTCAATATAGGTATACTTTATTTGGCCTCAATTGTTCCCCTCGAAGACCGCTGATAAGACCAATATGACCTATCCATATCTTTATTATCTATGGTATTAACCCACACCCATGGCTATAGATATCTATAGCCATGGTCACGATGTATGTGATATCTTCTTTACATCGTGATTGTGGAGCGGGCACAGTCGAGTGATAAGCACGTCTTATGCGTCTTTTATTTTAAATTGTAATATCAAATCAACAACATTTTGCCGTCACTCGCCAACTTTTTTGTGCGTCTAAATAGTTTTCATTTAAATTACAATGCCAAGCTGTAGTCTGTGTGGTAGAACTCAAAACTCTAAGAGCAGAGAGAAACAAATTACTTTTCACAGGTGAGTGAGATTTATTAGTATTTAATGCATTGACATTTGACATAATATCTTTACCTTGGATATGATTGTATTGTTGTGCAGTTGTGTACTTTTTTAAAGTATAGTTTTATAATAAACCATAATTGGTATAATGTTTTAGAAAAAAATATAAATTAATTCATATTTTTATCATAAGCATCGATGACTGAAGTTGTTCCACTGTTATTATTTTTTTCCTAATACATTTTGAATGATTTTGCTTACATAGGTATCCAAAATGTCCAGAGATCCGTGAAAAATGAATTGAGTTCAGTAGAAGCTATGATGAGCATAAAAGCATAATAGTGAATGAAAAAAATGTTGTGTGTTCTGCTCATTTTGTGGCTGACTCCTTAAATGTGTATAATAAAAGTACTATGTTGAAATCTACAGCTATACCATCATTAATAATTAAACGTGTTCGTTATGTAAGTTAATTGTACATAATAATTTTTATTCATTTTATAACCATTCATTATACTCAATTTAATATTATCATAATATTATGTTAGGGTAAATTAGATTATCCCGAGATAACAACAAATTTGCATTCTGATGAGAAACAAAAAGTGGATGATATGGAGGATATTGCTTGTAGTTGCTCTAGTATCATTTCAAATCCTCCTAAGGAACCTGAAATGGATAGAGTTGAGTGTTTGAAATTAAGTAGTTCTAATGGTAAAATTGCAAACGCCAATGACAGTCCAGTATCTAAGTCAATATCTAAGTCCAGTAACATCTTTAATAAAGAATCGTCAACCAAGGTATGTTTAACTTTTTTTTGTGTTACAAAAGTTTATTACAATATTAATTTCTATTATTTTTACTAGGTAAATGGAAATATATTTGTTGAAGCCAGTGTCGTAGAAGACAACGAAACACCCAGAAGACAATTTCTGAAACGAGGAATTTCGGTCTTAGCTAATGACACCAATTTGAAATCAAAAAAAATTAAAATGTTGAATCAAACAATTAGAAGCCAAAGAAAAACAATTGTATCTTTAAAATGCATAATTTCAAACCTTGAAGATCACAATTTAACACGTTCACTGCCACAGTGATTTTCTAATCTGGTGACGCACGCAGCGTATCTACGGATAACATATGTGGGACAATAAAAGAATAAAAAAAAAACGCGGGAAACAAAAAACAGACTGAAAAGAAATTTCTGTTAATATGTTCTGAAAAGCCTAATAAATAATAAAGCAATGCCGCTATGGCCAAATTATTATAGTAGGGTATTTTCAATATGCACTGTGACGATCATGGATCGGCAGTGGCTAGAAGAGCCCTACTACCAACAGTGATCCGTAATCTGCAGTGGAGGTGACCGTGTTAATGAACAAAGACACATCAACATTATGATCGGATAATTTTGGTGAGAATAAATATTTAATTACAAGGTTTTCTAAGAAAAATTCTGGAATGACGCCTATTAGAAAATATTGACCAGAACTCCGTAGATTTGCTATTTCCTTGCACTTTCGTTCTGTATTTGCTTACAACTTTGTCAGAAAAGAATTTAAAATAATTCTTCTACATCCTCGGACACTTGGAAAATGGAATTCAAATATCAACTGTGAACCTGGATTATGTTTTGAATCATTAAATTCATTATACAATCATTAATTGAAATATTGCATAGATGTATGCATAAATGTCTATGGTGGGCTGCAGCTAATTAGTAGATTCCAACATTTTCTATGAATTGATCTTAGTATTATTTAGTTATAAGTTGTCCTGAATGTTATTTAAGCAACAGTATAAATTATTTTAATTTCAGGTTTTATTATGAAGATTGGCCAACTCTTAACAATTTCAATTTTCATTTATGCTTTAAACAATGTCATAGGATGTTTATAATTACATGCGTTCCATTTTGCGATGAAGAATATCAGTTACCTGTCCGTGTACAAATGCAATAGAAAGCAGCTTGTAAAATATTGTATGTACCCGTAAGATAATTGTCATATAATATTGAATACTGCTGATAAATTGTATATTATTATTTGTAGCTTAACTAAAAACCTTATGTTTTGGAACCATTGAAGTGTTCATTTGTTAAGATATGGAATTAACTAAAAATTGAACATATGAGATCAACGTAAAATATCAGAATTGAACTATCTAAATATAAATACTGTTTTGAAGTGAGTTAGTAAGTTTAGTCGGGATCAAACTAGCATGGATATTTCTAAAAAAGTCAACAGTAGTTAATAATAATTATTAATTGGATAATAAATTAAATTATGAAAGCTTCAACAATTTTCATAAACTGAAATGATTGTAAATATCTTAGTAAATAATACATTGCCCACTAACGACTTAGAATTCCTAGTTTTGAGAAAAATTGGGAATCATTTGATACCATAGTGGTATCAAACATGTGCCCCGTTGCTTGTAAGGCCTGTAAACGCTTTAGCGTGGTTCTCAATTTTTCTCAAAAAATCATGAGAATATTGGAAATAAAATGTAGAAACGTCAATATTTTCAAAAAAATGAACTCTACAAAATGGCTATAAATAATTAAATAAAAATGTATGTATTGTAACTTTTTACCAAAATATTAAAATAAATTAGAAAAAAGGAAATATTTGTAGTTCTTTCCCCAATGAGTCTTAATAAAAAACCAGAATTATGATGTATTATATATATTTTATCATTATATCAGAAGATATCGCAATGGGTAAATCCTCACGAGACACCTGTATTTGTACTCAACATATTTTCTAATTTTTATTTTATTGAATACTTTTTTTTAATTAGTTACTTTAAATGTTTTAGTTATCATTTAAATATTGTTGACTATGTATATTTCTGTATGTTTAATATGGTATATTGTTATTTTAAATCATAATGACTTACTTAAAGACCATAACAATACATACATGTATTTTTATATTTTTAGTGAATTAATATTTGAACAGAATTGGAACATTAGGATGTTTAAGATATACTTCCATAATATTACAACTAAGTTCAACAGTCACCTACTAAATCTATGATGAGTTGTTCATGAAAATCAGGGATATATTGACAAATCTAAAATTCTTCAAGAAAAACAGTTCACTATATTATTTGTGTTTTCACAAACATGATTATAGGGGTCATTTGAGAGACACGAAAAATTAGCACTGGTATCTGCGGCTTGTTGTTTATACCCACCGTTGTGACCATTGGTTGTCAACATTAACTCTCTGCTGTTACATTAATTTATATCATATAAGTTGATTATAAAAATATAAGTAACCTTACAATTACAATATAAAAAAATAAAAATAAAATTATACTCATATTGTAGATAATTTTATATATTTTTTAAAAATGTATACATTTATAATTTGGATATCAATCAAAAAATGCCACTTGATGCATGCCAGGTAGCGCACACTTTTTGTGCCCGCAACTATAAGCCAACAAATTTTTAAATAAATTGTTCTGTTCCCCAAAAAAAACCTTCCCTATCTTTCTTTACCAGTTCTATGGCAATTTAATTTCAAGAATACTGAGCCCGAAAATAGTACAATATGTATTACTCACTCATATAAATACAAAATTGTAACCATTTATTTTGTGGGAACTAAGTTTTATTAAATAAAAAAAAAATATATATTTTATTATATTATTTTCATTTTTGACTTGTTGTTTTGTTTATGAGCATGATTGTTGCAAACAAAATTGCTAAACTGAGTTAAGTGAAATACAATAAGAATTTTGAATATTATGTGCATCTCAGTGCATCAGTAGTGATCTCTGTGATAGTTTAGTATAATATAATATTTTATGTTAGACCTTTGACATATTCAATTTTCTAGTTTAATTTAAATAATGCAATACCATACACAATGACAAAATATTATCCATAGAATCTAGCTAATTTACTTTTTTTTTTCTTTTCTAACAAAAAGATTGTTATGATGATAGAATTTAGGTATTTTAATTGAATACTTTTAATTAAATTAGAGATACAATTATTACCATTGAATGATTTTTCATTTTGAGTCAAGTAGTTCTTGGCCAGTTAACAAGAAACACAAATTATAAGTTATATCTGTTGTTATCTATAAATGTGTAACTATTAACTGATTATTTCTTGATTCGGTTTAAATCTTATAATTTATATAAGTTGAAGTAGGTACAGCCAACAATCTGAACATATGCTCAATGACAACCTTCAATAGACTGTCAATCAAAGATATCCGAGAACAAAATTACATAAACGTTTATGTACCAATAAGCATGACATATTAGAACTTTAAAAATATATGTTGGATACTTCTGAATAGTTTTACCAAATTAGTAAATAAGTAATTGAGTAATTTTGCATATTTAAAGATTTAAAAACCAAATAACATTTATCTTATTTAAAGATAAAGAGCCTTATCAACCACTATGGTCAGCTATATTTTGAACTATACTATAGATTTAATTATGATATTTTACCGTCTGTATATTTCATATTCATATTTATTAAAGTTAAATTAAAATTACTATGCATATTTTTGCATATTATTATGATTTTTGAATTATTATATCTTTTTTAAAAGATTATTCTTATAGAAATGCATATTTTATTGTATTTTAATTTTTAGCTTATTAGGTTCAGAGACCTAATAATAATTGATACTTAAGTGCATAATATTTTATGAATTTAAAATAAAACTTGTTTTATTAGGTATTTTTAAATTAATTATTTGTTATCAACACATTTTATGATACAATCATGAAGACTAGAGATCTCTATATCTCTAAAGTTCACGGATTCAACATAGGTTAATGATTAAAATTAAACTTACTACGACTGTACAGTGGTATTAGTATACTAATAATATTTATTTATAGTTTTTCTACAGCAAACTTACTATGTAAAGCAATGTTTATTATATATTATATATAGGTATTTTTAAATGAATAATTCCTCAAATAGTATTAAATTGGGTACATTGAAAGCAACAAATAAATAAACATTCAAACTGTAACATCTATTTATCTGACATTGACAAATTGAAGTAGGTACGGTAGGTATATATAATAAATTATCTATAGGTTATGAAATAAAAGGTTGGTAAATTTTTCTTTTTCCGCTAACTGTTGAAAATTGCTTTTACTACTTTTGTCAAATTTCCAATAGGCAGATTAATTGTTTGGGCGTTTTGAATCAATTGTATACGATAATACGTGTACCTACTTAATACTTATGTAAAATTAAAATGCATCTTGGTTTTACTCGGAATCTATAGTAAAATACACGGGCTACAGTAAATGAGTAGGTTGTAAGTATGTACATTTTAAGTTTTTAACGGTTCCAAGTTTATAACAGTAAACACTAAATGTATACCATATGATGCAAATATTGCAAATAATAGTACATATACACAATACACTATGACTATACTGACCTGTCTGACCTGTTAAGCCGTAAAGGTACACCGTTGTACCTATCGCACACACAATAACCCCATCGAAAGAATAAATAAATTATGTTCCCACGTAGGTTATTTTGTGTGCATTCAGACTTATTTCTTTCAGTAATTTTTATTACCACAATACCACTGCAGTGGCACTAACAAGTTTAAAATAAATAAATAATACGTTTTTTATGCGGTCTTCGCGATGCCATTTCACAGATAAAATACGAGTTTGTAGGTATGTTGAATTACATTTTACAAGCAGTAGGTGTTCCGGGACTCGCGACAACACCGTTTTGATTTGATACCTACTTGCAATGGATACGAAACAAATAAGTATAAATGTATAACATAGCTGACAGCTAGTGAATAGTGATCAGCGAAAAGTGAGAACTTGACAACTTATACAATTATAATAGGTAAAATATATTTACTCAAACTATTTTTTTACTCGGACGGGGGGACGGTACAAATAATTGCCGAAATAATTTTTATTAAAATGTGGAGTGAACTGTTGTCATTGATACACCTACGACCTAATGAATTTTACATTTTTAATGCTAAAATTATTTTTTTATGGTTTGGATTACCTATAATACCTTGATATTTTTTACTATAGTTTGCTTATTACGCTTGTTCGTTGACTAGTTTAGTAGTATCTACCAACGTAGAAACAAATAGGTAACAATAAATGAACTATTATATCACCTATCAAAGTATGAGTATCAAATATTTGTGGAATACCACTGGTAGTGTTGACAGTTGACATAGGTATGCGTCCAGGCACGCCCGCAGAGATGTAGCTCACTAGGTGCAAAATATTTTTAATATCAATATAAGATGTGGGGGGCTTTGCCCCCCACACCCCCTAACACTTATTACATGACATATATTATTTATCATCAATAATGGGTATAACAAAATATATTTAAAACATAACTCATTTTATTTATTACTTCTTATAAAATATAAAAATTAGATAGAATTTTAGATGTATAACACACACATACATATATATATATAAATAATAGTGTACCACAGAATAGATGTCAGATAACGAAATTCATAATAATATTATTGATGACCAAAATAAATGTATTAATAATAGACGCGTGGTTAGACGTGGCTGTACACAGTACTAAAATGCGGCAGACGGTGGTATCTCAGAATAGTCAGATGCCTGAATAGCTAATAAGTATTTAATATTTACTATATTGGGAATAATCATGGGCATAAATTAAAAATTTACAGAGAAGGAATTTTTATATTTTATTATTTATTTGAAAAATCCAAATTATTAAAATTCTCAGGTGGTGCATTTGCACCACCTGCCCCCCCTCTCCGGGCGTGCCTGTATGCGTCTGAACCACAAATTAAGCAATTATCTTCCTACCTACTGAAACAGGTCGGTATTATTGCTATCAAAATGAGAGTAGCAATAATGGTAAAAAATGTCTGTTTTAAGTGTTCGAAATCTGGATGTATGAAATGTAATTGATAACAATTTCGAAAAATAATGTGAATATAAAATATATTAAATCCATATTCACTGACTTGATGCATAGTTAATAAATAAAATAAAATATTTTATGTTATAAATTATACTTGGAATGTAATAAACGCAAAATGCTATAATTAAGCTGAAATGTAGTATACACATTAAACCATAACACATTACCTACACCAGCTCTAGTGGCTTAAAAAGAAAGGTTCAGGTGTTGCCTGAGCAACACCTTAATGTTGAGTAGGTGGGTGTGTTGTGGCTATTGATATAAGGCTAATAGTGAAGTAATTAAGTATTTATAGAAATACGATATTATAATTAAGGATTACTAGGTTTAATGGTAAGTTTTTAAAGAATGCGTTTTACTAGAACAAAAAAATAATCTACAAAATTGCATCAAGTGCATTGAATAATAAACAATCGCCTTAATAACATTTATCGAAATAACAATATTTTAAAGGGTTGTCGGTAGTTCTTAGATCGCTTACAATCATTTGAACAACACCAATTTATTTTTATACACACGCCACTGACCAGCTCTACACCATTTACTATAATTACTGTTAATTATTATACTGCAGATACACATTGAAGTAGCGGACTTTAATGCTACAGGCCTACTGCCTACAGCCCGTATGCCCCATAGGTATAATATATTGTTAGTTGTTGTGCTACACGAACACAACCATACCACATCGCGGATGAGGCATGATATAAGTCATAACAACCCACCCGATATTCAAACCCGCGACTAAAAAATAATAATAATTCGGAAGTGTCCGCTTCTGAATAATATCCTCCACCAACGTAGGTATTATACAGCTGAAATGTTTATTATTTACATGGTCGTTATTAGCACTTAGAATACATTGTGTTGTTTTACGTCCAATCAACGGTCAGAATCACGGACGTTACGAAATTATTACGTCCTGGTGATATAGTATATACCTACACAGAACGCGCGCGTGTGTGTGTCTATAATGTATATG